CCATCCGCTGGGCTTCGGGGGCTCGAAGTGGACGCACGCTCCGGCTGAAGTCATGGTGCGACGGATCGGCAGGATGAACTGGCACTCTTATGCTCTGAAGCGTACCAGTCTTCTACGGATACGTCAAGTTGTCACTCACATGCTGCAATTGTCATCCAACGCCCTGAAGCCCATTGCCCGTTGTGTTGGCGTTGTGTTGGCGCTGCAAGATTGATAGATCAACATACCCCATTGCGGATTCCGACCTACCCAATAAGCACGGAGTGCAGTGCTTAGTCGAATGTGGGGGAGTGTCATGGTACGTTTGATATTGATTGCCCAACAAACGTTGGCTCGTCTGGGGAATCGGGGATTTGACAACCTTCTGAGGTCTCTAATGGTGCGAATTTGGCGCAACGCATAGTCTTTTGACGATTCTAGGTTTGACGCCTAATTAGCGACTAGGACTCTGGCGAATATTTCACCGTTGGCCAAGGCGGCTGCAGATAACGACAGCCAGCGACGGCCAAGCGCTACCATAGTGTAAAGCAAGCGTTGTATGTCGCGGAACGGTCTTCCCAAGGGGAACGTAGCGGAGGGTTGATCCTCCGACGCGGACCACAGGTCCGAAGACTTAAGCCACCCATTGGGACCTCCTGGAGGATGTGTGGCCTGCGCATATCAGCTGTCCAGGCGCCGTTTGGCCAAGGGAGGCAATCTTCCGCCATGGGAGTTGACGCCAGAGGTCTCCTGATTATCGTCATCAGTCGTTCAAAGCCCCCCTAGATAAGAGCTATGCAATAAGGAGTTGTTGCGACGCATCAATTGTCCATGCCTCGAAGAGTTGCTGACAAAAGACACCAGGCAGCTCAACCTGTCGTTATGGGAAGCCAGCAGGAGATGCTGTGATTGGAGCGCCAGTTTGACCACGGGTAGTGACAGACGGTGCGTTGAGGTGGTTCGGTTCTGGGATTGGCGGCCGCTGTATCTAAACTTTGGTAAAGCAAAGGGCGAATCGACCGTTCCAGGCCAAAGAAACCCCCCGCATCCTGCTCAGTCGCGCGAGCCAGGTTCTGATTACCCCGGCTATACCATTGACAAGCCTTATGCGACGAAGTGCTGATACTTGGTCGTGTACGAATAATTGGGTGCTAGTTCTCTCAGCCAAGCGTGGAATGGCGGGTAAATGTGCAGCGAGCGGAGAAGCGGGACGAAGAGCTGGTTCGATGCCGGCTGAAAAGGATTGAGAAAGTGTGCTTTGGTATCCGTAGCCTGCAGGAAGATGGGGACTGATTGTTGATCGAGAACAAAGCTAGAAGGGACACAGACCGTGACAGACGAGAGGCCAGGAATAGATGAAATGGCGAGACACGGGGGGAGAAGCGGAACGGTATCCGAATAGTCGATTTCTGGCGTTCTCAGATTCAACCCCTTGCAGACCGTCAAGGCTACCGAGATGCACAAGCAGTTTGTGTTTCATTGTGCTCAGGGGCGGTTTGCTTGCTTCCCGTGCGTGCATGATTCCGTCGCCGGATACCAAGGGATTGCGGGCGAGAGTGTTGAGACCCTGAATGGAGTCGAGAAGAAGACGATGCAACGTCAAGGCCCGGTCCCCAGAGGAAACGCCATAGCTGGACTGTATCTCCGCTTTGGGTAATCCGAATGAGGTGGGGGAGAGCCTTCCATAAGCCCTTGATCGTGCAGCGTTAATGAAGGAGCCTCTGGCGCTCCAAAGACTTTGAGATAGGCAAGTAGCTCCCGAATATCCCCTCGGTCTGGAGACTGGCAGTGCCGCGGTGGTTCGGTGGAAGCCAAATCAGGAGAAACGGAGGGCAATTTCCGTCAATCAGCAACGGCGAAAGGCGCCAGGCCTGTGGCACCGTCTTATTACGGCAGCCCCGGTCCGTTCTGGGGGAATGGGCTGGGGAAAGCAGGGAGCAGAGAGGGGAGGAAAGCACGACGGGATTGACAAGGGGAGGGGCGTGTGGAGGATGGGGGGGGGAGGTGCAGCTGTTGGGATAGCAGGCGCGGCAGGATCTGGGAGCCTCCTCTGACGCCAGACGGGTCTGACCTTATCTGTGGGGAAACATCGAAAGATGTTCCCCAAGCGGGCCAGGCGGGTCCTGGCCTGAGGGTGAGCCGGTGAGGTGGTGACTGCCCTGATCAGTGATGCGCTGCCAAGCTGCTCCGGGGGAGGCAAGTGTTGACCAGTGGCTTCTTTCCTTCCATTTTTCCATTCCTGCCCGGTTTGCATTTGGAACCGAAGCCCGGCTCCGGGACCCATTGACCTCCGGACTGTGACCTCAACTCAACCAGACAGACAGGCACTTCAAGCTTCTCTCTCTCTCTCTCTCTCTCCACTCGGTCCTGGTGAGGTGCCACGATTCACACCCCTCGATCCCCTTCCTAGCAATCGCCAACCCCCTTCAGGCCTATCTCCCGCGCCCCAGCTTTTTGTCAATGATTTTCGGCTTGCGGCATGGGTATCCAAGATGGCGAAACTGGTAGGGGACTCTTGATGGGAATACCCGCCGATTCACTCCACTTCCTCTTCTTCCTCTCGGTGCTTCCTCTTGCCTATTCCAACCTAGATTCTCTCACTCTTCTCGGCCTTACTTGACATTACATTCAATCCAAGAGCCCCGTAGCACTACAGAAAGCCCGCACTACCGCAAAGAAGACCCTGCAAATCGCCGTCGCCATCGCCGAATGGCTTGGCTATCGCAAATGCATTCTATGGAGTACACTACTCTGAATTTGTATTCGCACCATAAGACTCGAATGAATTCAGCCGAAAAAGGCCTCCCGTTCCCCAGATGGAGAGCGCGCCAATGGAACAGCAACCCCCATGCTTATCAGCGCAAAATAGCACCCAGGTGCCTAGGCCCGGGATGGCGGTTGAAACTCCCTCCCCTGGCCTCAATGCCTTCCTCCATGGACCCTTTTGCCGCCTCAATCAAAACTTCTGCCCCCCACCCGCGCCTCGGTGTGCCTTCAGCCGCTACTACTCACCGTCCCATCCGCTCCCTGACCTGCGTCGATACGAGCCAAGATGCGTGGGTACCATGCCCTCGATGCGAGGGCCACTCCAGCGTGCATGGCATGTCACCCTGCCCAATTTGGTTCGCATCTCGCGCCGTACAAGTTCGTTTGCTCGCTCTCAGGGCCTTGAATTTCCGCATAGAGATTCAAACGGGGTGCTCAGCATGCGTTGCTTTGCTTTACAAACTGTCCAGGCCATACGATGGTGGTACCTTGCGTATGCACGCATCGTTTTATGGGGATATCAGCTTATGCGGCCCGTTTGTATAGGCGAACAATGTCTGTCAGGTATACGAACAGTTGATAGATGATGCTATGGTGAGACTGTGCTCGCAGGGTCGTGTATTCACAATGCACAGGAAGCTCCAGGTCCTATCATCAATCGCCTGCATTGCCATCGTGATCTTCCCCGCAAGCCAAGCATACCTCGCTGCATCAAAGCCGAGAGTATTATACCACTCCAGTGCATCCTTCGCATAGTTCATCCCATATGCACATTCTCCAGCTTCACCCGCCGGTTTCCCCGTACTCTCTCGCCGGCCCCTCCATCCCGAGGGACCTTCAACCTAACCACCTACAAGCCCGGTCAGAGGAGCCTCATCCGCCGCTGTGCATGGGGTATGTATCATCGGCCTTCTCCACGATCTTGGGATCTGTCCTCTCCGGATGCTGGTCCGGAACCCGGCCACTCTTCCGTGCGGGGGGGCTAGTCTGCGCCTCTTGTCCCCCAATATCATGTCGTGCAGGTACATAGTTTGCATGGAATCACGGCCCGAGGAAAGCGTTGATCTCGATACCGGCTAAGAAGCCCGTCGGGGGATGAGTCTGGCTTCACCGAGAGCGAGGAAGCTTGATCACACCGAATCATACTCTCCGATATAAACGGCTAGTCGGTGGCTTGGAGGCGAGACTGACCATGTAACCATCCAGGCAACCCTCTGGAGAACGGATGCCGATCCAACTTGCTCTTTGAATAGTGTGGTAGCGTAGATATTTGACTGGTTGGCCATGTTGGCCTCGAGGCGTGGTGTAGGAAGATGACGGATAAGCCTTGCGGGCTGACGATGCAGATATGCCTGAACATTGGGTGGCTTGAGCCCATGTACATGTACCATACATACACTTACTCAGTATTTGGGTTAGGCATGTCCAGCTATCCTCACTGCATCTTCAATTCATTGCTGTCCCCGTCATGAAGAAGCATATGCACATCTACCCTCAGAGTACTTGTAGCTATCAAAGATCACCCTCTGGTCTTCACACGTGGCCCTCAAAGCCCAGCCTGAACTTGAGGGATGGTTCTTGATACACCGAGTTACAGGCCATCAACGGCAATCCACGAACCATAAATACGTCTTTTCAAATGTCCATGCCGATCGTCTGCCGGTGACGTCCTGTTTCGTACCTTTTCCTACCCAGTCGCGCTAGACATACTCTTCCTTCAGGTATCTTGCTCTGCTTATAAAAGTCCTATCAGGCTGCTCATCAGACATTGTATTTGTGACGTGTTCTCCTTGGGAAATTGGTGCTTTCACGCTCAAGATCCTTCTCTGCCTCCAACGTATAAGTCATGGCGTGGCTGCAAGGGGCAGTATTCTCTTTGCTGGACAATAGCTCTCGGATGGTCTCGTTCCTGCTTGTGCCTGACATGCGGTTGAAAGGCAAAGTATGCCCGAGAAGAAGCAAGAACAAGTAAGATCATCAAACGCAGCAACAATAAGAATATGGATTCTTCTGGTTTCACTGAAGTAGACTCTTGCTTTGAGAATGATCCCGATAACTTTTGGCATGATTGTAAGGTGCGGACGAATAACAAAGCAGGAGAGCAAGTGGCTAGTCAAATTTCCTCCTAGCCATAAGAGCTTATAACACAGCGTCAAAAAGCCGTGCTTCACTGCGAAGGGAAATCAGGGTCGGAACTAGTATTGCGGATATCGGAAAAAGTGTTTGTAGCAGTGGTTCATTTATGAATGATAAAAGAGCCCGTAGTTACCCACACCTCCTAAATTTTATACACGTTCATGGAAATGGTTCTCAATTCCGAGCCAAAGCTCCTCCATACCAGCATTCTTCACAATGCGATCCTAAGCGAGGAAACCTGAGGCATCTCGCAACAGATCACCGGGAAGTGGTGTAGGCTTGCACTTGGGCATCTGCCAAAGGGACCACTAAGTCGAACTCATCAAACTTGGAGAAAACCAAAAAAATACCATAAGAAGCCCTGGCCAAGATGACTTGGGTCAATTTCTCAGCAAAGGGTGTCGTATCGAGTTGTCTCGACGGCACCGATTGGCATTTTCGACTTGAGAGCTCGGCAGATCTCGGCGTGAGAAGAACCGAGCACTGCACAGAACGTACAATGCCAACCAGATTCAAGAGCTGCAGAATACAACTTGAACCCATTAATCTTTGACGTGGAAATTGACCAAGCAGCCATATGTCGGTTCTAGTACCCTAGAACATAGAGCTTCTGGTTGACTTTCAATTCTTCAAGCCAACAACTATGGGTCCTTGGGAGGGAGCAAGGTTGAGGTTGTCACCGATGACTCACCGCCTTTGGCAGAATCATCGGACCCACTGAAATTTCTCTCGCCGACCAGCGACGACGTGCGACTCGAATGAGCCAAATCGACAACGGGGACCCAAAATTTCATACCATCTCATATGACTGTATGTTGAAGCCATACCTTCAAGGAGCTATACGCCAAGGCACACGCGCTGCGAGCCGCCAAATTTGTACACAGCACTTGTCTTTACGCCTCCAATCACTTCGATTGACGGAACCTTCATCAGCCGCTTCTCTCACTCGCGCAGCATACAGAGGTAGTGCGCCGCCACTCATCAGATTCTGCAGCAGCTGTTCAACCACCAAGAGCAGTGAGATTACCGTCAAAATGAGCGGAGACGAGCAAATCTTCACCTACGATGGCAAGGACTACAAGGGCGTGACCGAGGGCAAGGCCACGATCCTGGTCCCCGCGGAAGTCAACGACAAGAAGGGCCAGCAGGTCTTTTACAACCCCATTCAGCAGTTCAACCGAGACCTGTCCGCGCTGGCAATTAGGGTGTACGGCGAGGAGGTCGTCGAGAGGAAGGCTGCGCAGGCCGCCAAGGCAGCCGAGGCCGCTGCCAAGCGCAGGGACAAGAAGAGACGGCGCGCGGCTGCGGATGAGGGCGGTAACCGGCCGGCCAAGGTGCAGGTTACGGACGACGGCAAGACGGCCGAGGTCACCAACGGCGAGGAGCCGCAACCCGAAAATGGGGTTCATGGCACTGGCGCCGAGGCCGAGGTGCCCGCGACAGCCGCGGAAGCCAAGGAGGGCCAGACCGAGGGGGAGGACGCAAAGGCTGTGCCAGAGAAGGAGCCGGCGGCCCCTCGCTTTACCATCCTGGACGCCCTGTCTGCCTCTGGTCTTCGCGCGTTGCGTTACTCCCACGAGTTGCCTTTCGTGACCTCGGTGACCGCCAACGACCTGACCAAGAGTGCGATTGAGTCGATCAAGTTGAACATGAAGCACAACGGCCTGGAGGACAAGATTGTGACGAGCCACGATGATGCGATCGCACACATGTACCGGCGCATCGCAGACGACTTGTCGAACAGGGACCGGTTCGGTAACCCCAGCAAAGAGAACAAGTACGATGCGATCGACTTGGACCCGTACGGAACGGCCGCGCCCTTCCTGGATGCTGCTGTACAGGCCGTCCGAGATGACGGTGGCCTGCTTGCCGTCACCTGTACCGATGGCAGTCACTGGGCAGGCCACTGCTACGCCGAGAAGTGCTTCTCCTTGTACGGAGGCGCACCCGTCAAGGGCCTTCACTCGCACGAAGTTGGCATTCGCCTGATCCTTCACGCCTTGGCGAGCGCCGGATCAAAGTACGGTCTCACCATCGAGCCGCAGCTGTCCCTCTCCATTGACTTTTACTGCCGAGTCTTTGTCAAGGTTCGCAAGTCCAAGGACGCCGTCAACTACCAGGGTGGCAAGACGATGATCATGTACAACTGCCCCGGGTGCTCGGCTTGGGAGACGCAGCCCATGGTCCGGACGCGCGCCGCGCCCAAGAAGAAGGACGGGTACTTCTACAAGCATGGACTGTCTCAGGGACCTCCCACCGACTCGCACTGCAGACACTGCGGTTCAAAGATGCACATCGCAGGACCCATGTACAGCGGCCCCCTGCACAATGCCGAGTTCATCCAGCGTATTCTCGACGTCTTGCCGACGGTCGACAAGAAAGTGTACCAGACGACGTCCAGAATCGAGGGCATGCTCCAGACGGCTCTCGAAGAGTATCTCCCGGGCCCGGAACCGGCAGAAGACCTCGACTCCAAGGATAAGGAGCTGGCGAGGGTGGACCACTACCCATTCTTCGTCATGCCCTCGCGGTTGGCCGGTACGTTGAGCACGCAGCAGCCGCCGGACGACATGTTTAGGGGTGCTCTCAAGCACCTCGGCTACCGCGTCACCCGCAGCCATTGCCGGCCCGGAAGCGTCAAGACGGATGCGCCGTGGGATACGATTTGGTTCGTCATGCAAGAGTGGGTTCGCCAAAAGGCGCCGGTGCGCACGGAAAAGATCAACTCGCAGATGCCGGCGTATAAGCTGCTGGGCCTGGACAAGACTGACAAGGCGGACACCAACGGGAACGCCACGGAGGTCAAGGAGGCTGATGCCCCGGTAGAGGCGGTGGAGGAGAAGGAGGAGAAGGAGGAGGAAGCTGCCAAGGAGGAGGAAACGACGGTGGATGTCGAGATGAAGGACGGATCGGAAGACAAGGCCGAAGAGAAGCCGTCCGAGGAGGCGCTGCGCAAGACGCTCGTGTTCGATGAGAACCTCGCCAAGCTCGGCAAGCGCAGGGAGCATCGAAAGTTGGTCAGATACCAGATGAATCCGCGGGAGAACTGGGGCCCCATGACGAGGGCGAAGGGCGCGTGATCGGACGGGACACAGCAGGAAGAAGAAAAGCAAAGTCGACTTTAGCCGAGATGAAGCATTACCAGATTTACCAACACTTTGAAGCCGTGCAATACGAGGTAAACAGTTCTTGTCCATCCGTCTGTTCGAGAGGTTGCAGACTGACGCGAAATCGTCCTAGATATCTGTGTCTCCAATCCGACTCGACCCTTCGCCTTTGGTAGTTGGGCGCCTCTCATTCGTACCTGCCTTGACAATCAATGCATCGATGTTATCTCCGGGGCATTTCTTCCTGCCCGTGGTCTCTCTCGCCCCTTCTCCAACGAATTTCCTTGCATCATGGGGGCGGTCGCGCGAACACCCAACTTCGCAACCAAACATAGGCGTCAAACCGAGCTCTTCAAATCTCAAGTTGCAATCCTTGCGGTGGGATGGCCGAGTGGTCTAAGGCGACAGATTTAAGCTTAGTCAGCGACTCTGTTACTCGTGAGAGTGCGCGGGTTCGAACCCCGCTCCCATCATTTTAGCTTTTTGTGATATGGCATTGAGATTGCGGGGTGTTGGAAATGCTTTTGGTACATCAATCAAGCGCGCAGTTGGGCGACCGGGCTGGAATCGCTGAGTTATCAGTGAGTTAAGGTCAGGAAAGGTAAAATGCCGGCCTGTGCAACATGGTGCGGGCGGCGTTTCGGGGGCCGATTGGTCGGCCTTCCGGGTGGTGGCAGCGGTACGGGCGACCACCCGGCCCCGGCTGGCTTGGCTGCTGGACTCGCTACCACATGTGCTGTTTTCCATTCAGTGTGCTTTTGGTACCCCGCCGCCTTCCTTTCGCCGGGATGACTCCCTTAGCTTGCTGAGGTGCATTTGGTATCACTTGCAGAAATAACGCAATCGCTGGGTCTATGGCATATTTCCCACAAACTCATCCACAGCATCAGCCACAATTTTCCAAGAGGCGATTGTAAGTGAGGTGTCTCAACACCAGGTAGGAGAGTACCTAATACGCACGCTTACTATTCATCGCTAACCGGGATTTTGGGATAGGATTGCTAATGTGTGCGATCCCAGTGCATCCGGGCTTACTCCCAAGGCACTAAATAACCCACGCATCTCACTGCATTGTAGAGGGAGACGTACTACGGTCACCTGCCCGAAGAGGCTTCGTCTCGTTTTCTGGTCCATTAGTGCTTTCCTAACTACCTGGTGGCCGGCTGTCTGGTTGCGCCTACAAGTGCTGATAAACCTCTCATTACCGTCACCCTTATACCGCCATATTGAAACAACTGGCAAAGGGGTTCCGAGGTGACGAATCTGAACACCATATTCTAGCCTGAGAATTCCAGATCAACTACTTTCATCCGAAATCAAAAACCCAATATGAGCAACGTGGACGGTGCCGAGCTCGTGGGCAAGCCCCGTGCCCACGGCATCGTACCCCGCCACGCCCGCGATGCCGCCTTCACCGACGGCAAACTCACCTTCACCACGCAAAACGGCAGTGAGTCCGCTCGCCCGGAGGAAATAGTTTTCATTATTCCCGCAAGCAGCAATCCGGCCTCGGGGCCCATGATCTGCGTCCTGAAAGAAGACCCCGAGGCCAAGGAATCTCCTTATCAGCTCGACATCATCCTTCTCGCGGAGGGCGAGCTGCCTGCCGAGCTCACCAGCCGCGACCTCCTGCTCCCGCAATTTCCAGAGCATCTCACGCCCAGGCCGAAACGTCATGACGTACACTTTGTCGTGTCTACCAAGTCTGGGCTGGGCCACGCGCCAAACTTCTGGGACGGCGTCGTTCAGCCTCTGATCCTGCTCGCCGGCCAAAAGACGGCGTCTGGAGATTTGCCGTCCGCTTTCTCTCCAGAAGAACGACCAGCCGCCCATGGTCTGCCTTCTAGCTTCAATGTCCTGATAACGGAAGACGCCGACAGCGTTCGCAAGTTCGCAAAGGAGAGGTGGGCTGCCAGACAAGCCGCCTCGAGCTCCGCCTCCTCGCCCCGGACAGAGACAATCGTCCTCCTCAGCGGCGACGGCGGCGTCGTCGATCTCTTGAACGGGTGCGAGGAGGAGGAGAAGAAGACAGTATCATCCACCGCCACCACAACACTACCGACCCTCGCTCTCCTACCCCTCGGCACGGGCAACGCCTGCTTCCACTCCCTCCACAAACCCCTCTACGCCGAGACGGGGCCCTCACATATGGTCCTCGGCCTCCGCACCCTCTTCTTCGGCACCTCGCGCCCGCTCCCCAGTTTCCGCGCCTCCTTCTCCCCCGGCGCCCGGCTCATTTCTTACACGGCCGATCCGGGCCCCCACGCACCGTCGCCAGGCGAGACCGAGGGCGACGGCCAAGGTGACCGCGAGACGACGCTCTCCCGCCACGACACGAGCGTCGACCATCTCTTCGGCGCCATAGTCGCCAGCTACGGCTTCCATGCCCAGCTGGTCTGGGAGAGCGACACGCCCGCGTACCGCAAGCACGGCGACAAGCGCTTCGGCATGGTGGCGCAGGAGCTGCTCAAGGAGAGCCACGCGTACGTCGCCACAGTCGAGGTGCGGTCCCCGGGAGCGGCAACGGGCGAGCAGAGGAGGAGGCGCGTGGAGCGCGAGAGGTTCGGGTACGCTCTCGCGGCCATGGTGTCGAACCTGGAAAAGACGTTCACGATCGCCCCGGACAGCGGGCCGTTGCAGGGCAAGCTGAAACTGGTGCACTTCGGGGCCGTGGGCGGGGAGAAGACGATGGAGATTATGATGGCTGCGTACAAGGAGGGGGCGCACGTGGGTATGACGTGGACAGATGCGGAGGGGAGGGAGGACTATCTCGGGTACGAGGACGCGGAGGAGGTTCGGGTTACGATTGGGGAGTCGGATCCGCGGTGGCGGAAGGTGTGTGTTGACGGGACGATTGTTGAGATTCCCGAGGGCGGGTGGATGTCTGTTGAGACGCTGGAGAGGCCGCTTTTTGGGATTCTTGCCGACCGATCGGTGGTGTAGGTAGGCTGGTAGATGAGAGAAGGACACGTTTGATGTGATTGATGTGGTGACGGTGCGAGAGATCTCTGGTGGTAACGACTCGGCGTCTCCTTACGAATTACACAAGACGATAGACTCTGACTTTCAGTAGTCTCCAATCTTCAAACTATTGAGGCTTTTTGTTAATGACAGCAAATCCTCCAATCTGGATATGACTTGCGGGTATGAAGGTCAACGCTGCTCCATCTTGTTCCAAGGTGCGATATGCCGTTCATCCGTTGCGGCAGAAGAGAGCTACTGCTGTTGACATCTCCCCTCTGCTGGTAACTTTGACAGCATACCAATGCCCGCATTTGAATGCCCTGGCTACTGTTGCTAACATCTCAGATGCAAGTAAGATGCTCTAGAACCCGTAAACGGATCCAAGAGAACGAGAGAGAAAGTTCATACGCCGGGGCTTGATTCTCGTCACGGTAAACCCCCCCCCCCCAACCCAAAGTCCCATGCTCTGCGGAAAAGTACAAGGTTTAATCCTCCAAAGGCAAAACGAACAATCTGAATTTGCTATTGCCTTGTGTAGGTCCGTTGCTTGCTCGCTGCCGATGCATACACACCTTAAATAGGGTACCAGAGATAACAAGATGTATTCATGATCGAGCGTTGGAGCATATATCCGGTGCTCTTTGTAAACATCTGAAAATGAACGAACTGTGGAACGACTTCGGGGAAATAGTCGCATTCCATCCAATATCCAAGGCTGCTATAGTTTCCCAGTCATGGTAAATCCAACCCGGGACTCAATGACACAAGTCAACGTGTAGAACTCAAGCATGATGTATGTAATTGAGGCCACATCACCTGTGTTGACATCCCTGGCAAATGGACATCACAAAAGTCTGACACAATGATACTTTTCCAGATGGTTTTACACAAGAGAGCTTCTTTAATCTTCGGCAGACAAGCTGCAGGTGAGTTGCGGCAGGTCCACGATGCCAAGTTCCGGTCGACATACACGCACATCATGAGAAAACTACAAGCGCCGGCGTCCCGACGAACACACGATCTAGTTCCTCAATCTCTGAAGCCCCCCCAATATCCATTATAGGGGTGTACCAAGGACAACTCCAGGCCATTCTTCAAGATACATTCATCGAGCCTTCATGGAAAGCAAGTCGCTATCTTCTCATTACTGGCTCACAGGAATGATCAGGAACACGAATCCGTATGAAATGAATACTTTCAACCCACGTTCCACGTTCCCCATGCCACCCAAGGAACGATAGTACACAGGAGTCACATAGCCGCATTGGAGATGAGACTTCAGAGGTCCTAGTATCTATTTGACCAACCTCAACACGCACGGCTTCCCATCACAGGCGATTCCCAGACGTCAATTGATGAAGTGTCCTCTCCCTACCTTGTCCCCAGGCTTCTCAGCCCACGTGGTCAACAATATCAAGCTCGAGGCACTCTCAGATATTCAGTTAAAGTGTTCGAGAATCGCCGGATAGAGGAGCTGCTCGTCGAACGGCCCGCGAAGGTGTGTATATATTCCTGTTTGCAGCTCTCCGAGGCATGGCTAGTCGCCCCCTGTCGTCCCAAAGAGCTCTGGCGAGCATAGATGGTCTGTTATCATGGAAACTTAATCAAGGAGTCTGGCTGTCTGTATGACTAAAATATCCCATGCATCGTTTTACTTCCCCAAGGTTCCAGATAGGAACAGTTCCCCGTATTGGTAAGAGATCCTGGCTTGGGCTTCGAACTCTCGTCTTCACAGGCTGATGCTACGCTTCTCAATGCGGCAGTAGTAGCAGGGAACGACAGTCCAGCGAAGTTGTTCTCCACTGCTTTATGGACTATTGCCGTGGTAGACCTCGATATATCGTGTCTGCGAACATGTTCCTCTTTCAAACGTCGTTCTAGCTTCTCAATAAGATGGACTGGAGTGGTCTCGTGAAGTCACAGACTGAGTTAAGCTGATTCAAGACACAAGAACTTGAGAATATCATGCGGTATGCCGGTACTTTGCCCTTTTTTCCCTCCCCTTGCCATGGCAGTGTCACGAATGTATGAGTCTCTAAATTCAAAGACGTGCACGTGTTTTCTATCGTCTTAGTAAGGCATATCTGCCACAATGTTACTGGAGACTCAATGACGCGAGAGTTTGAGAGGAGCCTGTGCTAAGTTCTGGGTGGTATTAGCCATGACGAGACGTCTTTCTAGAAAGAAATTTGGCCGTTGCCTGGCCTGAGTTTATGTGAAGCGACATTGTAATAGTAGTTACATAGAATACTGAGTCGTCGTCAAGCCTCTTGGTCAACTCAGACAAGCACAAACTACTACGATATCTCACTCGATGGTGTGAGAGTGAATGCAATCCATACGTAGATGCCAAGATACCTATCTATCTATAGATTACCTCGGAACCTTTAGAATAAAGCGTGACTACAGACTCCCTTTATACCCTCAGCTCTTGACTTTTCTACGACTCGAATTATGTAAGTAGAAGGTATGTTCTTATCTGATCTTCAATAGGCCATGTCATTCTTCAAGTACTCTACCATATCTGTATTGTCCTGTGTAAAGAGGAGAACCTGAAAAGAGATGACCCTGAAAGCAAGGTATGCCGATTCATTCCCTGAGCCAGAAAATTCATCTTCCGCAGGCTCAAAGGCTACACAGTATGAGTTTTAGCCAAGTCATTGGGCTCTTGCGCCATGCAACTGCGTCCCGCCTTTCTCGGCCCTAGTATCTTTTCTCAAAAACCCCTCCGAGATCTTTCGCCACGATGGATGTAGTTTCTTGCAGACAATCCGATCAAATTACCATCTAAAGCTCAACCTCATCCAAGCAAGTACAACAGACGAGCTTGAAAGAAGCCTCCACCACCTCCAAAGACCCACGAAAGCCTCGACGAAGTCTCAACGACACATCGATACCGATCCGATACCCTCGGAGCCGAGACAGCACACTATGACAATGATAAGAGACGATGGGGCTGGAAACTCCCTGAGAAGCCATTACGTCTCCCCATAGACACTTTAGCAAAAGTAATAAAGTGGTTGCATCCCCCCTTCAGCCACCATAGCTGCTCACCAACTAGTATCCCCTCTTGCGGAAACACAACAGCCGATGTTTGGGTGCTTCGAGGCATCTGACCACATTCCCGTGATGGACTCAAAAGACAGGTGATGAGCTACCCCCTATTGGGTCCCCTGATTTCCCCTGAGACACCAGAGCAAAGAGTGAGTCTTGTCTTCTTTCCCATTGCCAGGGACAAGGGATGAGGGACTGAGACAACGCGGTTGGAGCCCCACATTCGCGCAGATGACAGTGGGACTCTCATGCCGTCACGAAATCTCATGCTGAGGGAAGGTTCCGATTCACATACAGCCCAACCCGAAGCCCGCCCCCCCTCAAAACAGGGAGCCGACAACCCGCAAGCCACATGGCGCTGTCTTCCTTGGTCACCACCTCACTACCAGCCGTGATTGAGCCACAGAGACGTTGCATTCTTCGGCAAGAGGGATAGGCAACGGGGAACGAGAACGAGAACGTGTGGGAAGACGTTTTCCGTCCTCGGCCCTAGGTAAGCCCGTGGAGGGCATGGAAAAAGAAAAGAGAAACGGGGCTATTGCCAGTAGGGCAACGAACCCGAGTGAGTAATTCATGACGCAGGCCGTAAATGCCCGCTGTTGTGCACCCCTCGGCCCGACGAGATCGTAATCAGCCACCACCCCTGCCGCCCCATTTGAACATGCCTAGATCGTAAGAGTGGCTGTCCCCTTGAATGTTCGTATTTCACGCGTAAAGCCACTCGGCTTCAACAATGCGTTGCGACGCTCAATTGAGCGACAATACCACGAGGGGCCTCGTATCGGTGGTGGCTTCTGAGAAAGAACGGCATATTGTGCGGTGATGGAATAGATCAGGCAGATCACCGGAAGGGGCACCCAGTAGGAAGGTCCTGTGTACTCTGTTACCCAAAGAGCAGCATTATTTGCAGATTCGGTGCAACTGTGCGATGCAGGGATCTGGCTCTGAGTTTCTCAGGGATTATGCGGTAAATCCCTGAATCTGAAGCTATAACTCTTGCCAAGAATGGTCGTGACATTCGAGGAACGACGGGCGCCTAAAAAGCGCCGGAACTCGAATGACTACCATGAGCTAATGACGACCAAGAAACGGAACGGGAGGTAGCTTGGCAAGGAGATCGCCCTAGGCACAGTGTGGCGGCAGTTCAGGTCTGCCAGCTCGTTTGCGGAAGCTTTACCGCTGGCTGAAAGACGCGTGGCCGGACTTCGTGGATTTGGTGAAAGACTAGGGCAAGAGGGTGGCACGGTGGGCAACGCCAGCTGAGAAGAAGGAATGGTGACCATCGTGCCGTCGGCACCATGTCACCATGTCAGCGGATGACGGTGTGGTGAAGGAATCCAAAAGTTGTGATCTGCATGTAGTAAGACGTAGGAGGGATGGCGTCCCATTCCTTCCAGCAGCCGTGAAGCGCGAACATGCCGGCTTAGAGGAGTCCGATGGGAGGATCTCTCAGGATATCCATAAGGCTGAGGAAGATTGAAAGTTTGTACAACGCCAGCCCGGGCTTCAGTTACATGTGGAGAGGGGCTAATTGAGTTGCTTCCTTACTACTGCCTACTGGACGCTGACGAGAGACGGGCTGTGTGAGTGATGTTGCCAGCTGGAGCTGGAATGCCCCGATGAATTGGGAAATTCTGGCGATGTATTCAGCGGTGAAATTATGTTGAGTGTCTAGACGATGGGACGCGGCCCTGAGACCGTTAGCCGGGAGCGGACGAAAAATGTATAAGCAAGATGATATTGCCGAGACAAGGGCAAGGCTGGACGTAAGACTCGGGGAAAGGGAGGTGACCTGCCATAGAGCAAGGGTACGAAATCTATGACGCTGCGAAAGGGTCTGAGATCGAAGCCGACATTCCGTCCACAACCACGTTCAGGTTCAATTCTGGATGCAAAAGTGCGATATGGTGGCTGATATCGAGAAGGGTGACTTATGGCCAGGGAAGAAAGAGATTGGAAGGCTGGTGTGAAGTAGTGGAGATGGACCAGGTCAGGTTGGTTAGGTGTCAGAGTCCGAGGAAGAGTGTTGGGCCCAAGGCAGCAAGTGACATGAGGTACCTTGGGTACCTCAAGGTAAGGCAGGTACCTAGCTAGGTAAATGAGGTGAGGTGCAATCTTTGTCATCGGGCTATCCCTTCGGTGTTCGGTGAAGGGTACCCCGCACCCGGGCCGACCACACCTTCCCGTCCGATGGGCGCTGACCAGCACCGGATCGCGCACTGTGCACCCTGCACCCTGTCCTGCACCCTAGCGCGCCGTTCGTCCCATCCGCTTTCCCGTCCAGAGTTCACCGATACTCGACGACGTGTTCTTTCCCAGAATTCTTACCAACCAAGGCTGGTTGTTAGTTGAGTTATCTGAAGTTAGATCAAAGACGGAACAAGCCGTGGCATTTCGAACAAAAGCTAATCTGGCTGAAAGCGGCCGCACTTACAAGATATGCCGGGCTGAGAAGGTTGATCCCCGCCACAGAGCGCCGTCGCTGGAGCCAGGCGCGCGCAGGGCCTGGGTCCAGCCAAGGTGGTAGGTAAGCTCCTACCCAAGCAAGCTAACTAGTGTAGGTAAGGAGGCTAAGGTAAGGTAGTTGCTAGCTCCCTCATGCCCAGGAACGGAGCAAGTTGCAAAACACAGAGTGACATGCTATCGTGCCTTATGCTATCTCTCGTGCATTCTCATTGCCGACTGTCACCTGTTTTTTCCCCAATGCAAAACCTCTGACTCGTCCGCGTAGAGTCAAAGATCTATCCAGGGGGAAGCGTGAGACAAGTGGAAAGCGAGAGACAAAAATATGGCACGCGGGGATTGAAGGCCCGCAATGATTGATATCTCAGACATTTTATGCCTCTCAAATCTCTCAGCGAAGATATCTCCGGAGGGGCCCTCCGGCCGCCTACCTCTAGGCTATCCCTCCCGTCTCTTTCTGGAGGTACTCTCCTGGTCTCCCCCCCACCACAGTCAGGCCCATGGTGCTAAGTCGAACAGGGACAAGGCTAATAAGGCCCAGTGGTCTCGGAGATGCAAGACTAAGTAGGTAAGCCAAGCCCATTTCGCTTTCCATTCCGTTCCCCGTCTGCCACTTGTGCGCGCCTCTTAGGTTATCCTTTCTTCTTTTTCTGCCCGCCCGCGGAAGCTGCCTTTCCCATCCCCCCCTTAGACTAAAACCAAAAAAAGTAACTCGAAGTTTCCTAGCTAAGCTCCTTCCTCCCCCCTCTCCACAGAATGTCACTCAAAAACCTTAATTGGACATCAATCCAAAAAAGTTGTGGAGTTATTTCCCAAGAATCTCTGCACATAACACCCGCCATCAACGCGCCTGCATCCATGGTCTGATCTTGCCTTAGGTAGGGTAACCCACGGTCGCAGCTACCTTGGGTGAGGCTGGGAAGCAACGATCAGCTTACCTACCTTATGGAAGGAAACAACAGGGGACCATTGATAAGCGAGCATTCGTCAGGGTAAGCACCGGCGAGAAGCAGGCTCCGAAGATCGAATAGAGTGACGCAGTAGGTACCAGGTACCTTACCTTACGCGAATAAGACGAGTTATGCATTTTCGGACATGGCCTCCGTGTTCGAGCGCACCCTTTCGTCCTGTCCCCTGTCAAACCTGGCTCGACCTCCAATTGTCGCGCCCACCAACCTCACCTTATGATGACGGGTTCTGTACCCCCAGAGCGGCAGGGTTATGGAGTACAGGACGTTGGATCTCACCCCTCTTCATGTCCAGCTATCTTCGTCTTACCGTTTTGCACCCGTTTCCATTCGACCATCCATCGAACAATGAACAAGGCCAATCTCATCGCAATTTTTTTCGGATCTGGTAACAAGAGGCATCAGCCGAGATTGCCACTTTCCGGCGCTTCGGGTCGTGCATACCACCATCTCTGTCCTTTAGGTTCCCGCAACTGCCAACCAACGGTCATTCCGACCGTTTCTTTCCTTACCTAAGCCCGTCACCCATATCCTCTGCCTGCCCCTCCATCACTCTAGGTTAGATACTCCGTACTCCACCTGCCCCACCACAAGGTAGGTACTTAAGGCAGGTACTGTGTATGGTAAGGTGCGCAGTACATTCTCTGTACCGGACTTGTGCCTCTTAATCCGGGCTCCATCAGTGCGTATAGGCATGAGGTGGGCTTGCTTTTCCCTCCCTCACATTTCATCTATTCCATCACATCACACCGAAGATGATGTCAGTCATCATTCATCCAAATTTTGGCATCTACTGTACATGCACCCATACGACTGGGACTCTGGGGCTCTCACCCATTCACAACGACACAGCCCCTCCGACCACAGGAAAGTTGATCACAGGGTAGTCGCCAAAGAACGCAACTGACGCCGTGCGACAAATCCACCCAACCAACCATGCGATGGAAACAAGCCTCTTTCCGTCACCCAAGCAAGATACGCAACACATACATACCTCCCGACACCAAACGGGTTGCCGCGTCCCCTGCGCAGCCCATGAAGCCCAAACAACAATCCAGCAGAACGGGGACTAACAGAGCCAAGAAAAGAAAACATCATCTCCCACTCACTGCCCCCCAAAACAGCATGTTTCCTACTCCTTCAAAGTGAGGTAATCAAATACCTGACTCGATCCGCATGCGCCCGTCGGCGTCTCCCGCTCACGCGCATGAACCAACGGCTTCCGACATCACCATCGCTCAAATTCTCTCATCATTCCACCATCCCTCCCAAGGCCCCCTATCCCCTTCTCATCTACAGCTAATCAGTTTGCAAAATTCGTGATCCCGTCTGCTCACCCTATCCAATATGGAAAAGAACCTGAACAGTTCTCTCCTGACCGTCTTCCCGTCGTTCATGCTGTGTTCCGACAAGGTTCGTATAGAACCATACCAGCGGGAATTCAACTTCTTTTCCTTTCTCAGCGACTAAATTTCCTTGCTTTACTTTTTGCACATACGAGTACAGTCATTCTGCAACCCTCTCCCCTTCTCGTCGCCTGCATCTCTCCGTATCCTTTTCCTCAGTCCCTCGTTCTCCTCTAACTGGTCCGCATAATGTATGTGACAGAAGACCAAATGGAACCATCCCCTCCCCCCCTTGAACGAGAGAAAAGAGAAAATTCTGCAGTCCGGGGACCTCACGACAGTCTTGACCCCAAACAAGGTCCTTTTCATCCCCCCCCCCCCTTCCCTCTTCCACCTTCCCAATCACCCCCTGCCCTGCCCCCCTCGTGAAACCCACCACACCACCCACGAGCCCGTAAATGTGCCAAACTAAACACCCCCCCCCCAATACAGGACCTGCCTGCCAGCCATCGGGTAGGTGAAGGGCTCATATTGGGTGGAAATTAGCAAGGGCCGGCTATGATCTCCGGGCCAAGCCGACAGAGGCAGCTTGTGCAGGGGTAGGGGTACCGGTAAAGAGAAAGGGAAGGCAAGTCGCAAAAATTCCAAGTTTGCTTGCCATTTCTTATTTAACCTTGCATTTTCCTAATTCTCTCTGGCACTTTGCTCATAGCTTACAAGGGGGGGGGGGAGAAGGAAAAAACGGGCGGGATGCTTCTCCCCCACCCTTTCACCCACCCTCCCACTGTCAACATACCTTCGGACTGTGTCCAGCCCAGCCTTTCCTTCCTTTCCGCGCGGCTGCGCGTCTCGTCGCCTTTCAGCCATACCCATCTTTCGCACTCTGTCCAGTCAGAGATTTTCCTATGAATGCTGTGGTAGACAATAGATTCATATGCGGCACAGTTTCACAGAGTCATATAGAAGGCATCGTGTTTGGGGTTTGGATAATAATGTCAGAATTTCGCCGCAAAGGACAAGAGTATGTGAAAGGGTCAGTAGCAAAAGGGTAAAGTTGCCGCGATTGATCCCCAAAAGACGAAGAAACAAACCAAGTACCTGGCATTGGCACCCGCCGCTGCTTCCCCGGTACCTGGCCCTCCAAAAGAAAGCTACTCCGTTCCGCCTTGAACTTCGTATGCCATCGTCCTCCACCTCCTCGTCCACCCGTTCAAGCACTCGTCTCCATGTCCCCTCATGCCGTGGTATCTTTCTCTCCTCTCAATGTCCGACTCGATAGGAAAATAAAATTTTTGTCTTTGTTGAAGCGAATGTTACCTCACATTATTACAACACCGCAGGGCCTTTCGAGAAAGAGGAGGGGGAAGGGGGGGGGGGTGCGGTTACAACAGAGAAGGAGGAGCTGTGAACGAAGGAAATCCCAAACATGAGAGGGAAACAAAATAGAGAACCAAAATCCCAAAACAATGCGCGGCGGGTATCCCTAACAATGTCTGTCGTCCACCGTGTCCCCCCCCCCCTTTTGGCCCCCTTGGCCCCCTGGCCGACAATGTCTTTTTTCCCCAAACTTTTCCTGCCCAATATGTTTCAATGTCGGGGTGTGCTGGGGGCAAATTTCCCTCGATCCCATTTCAAACCAATAATTATCTTTCTCTTTTCCGCGCGCCAATTCGCCGTGATCCCTTTGTTTTGTTTTCCCACCCATGTTGTGCTTACTCAATGTCAACGATGCATTCAGTCTCGTTCGGGTATTGAGTGGTGTTCCTGATGCCTGTGTGACTCCCATACGCCAGAATCTTGCCTTCGTGTTTATGCCAAATTTTCATTATTTCCTCGAAAACCGAAAACAGGAGAAGAGGATCCGAAAGAAGAATAGCTGTTTGCTGATAAACGGGTTGCCCACTTTCTTTCGGTGGGCCCAACCGCCGCGGGGGTTCCTCATTGTACAGACCGCGATCCGCCATGGCAGCGTTGGTGTTCGCAGAAATTGCTCCTGCTCATGTCTCTTCATGTCATGTTGGAGACGTTGACACCGGACGGAGGCACCATGGTTGGGTAGTACCCACCCGACGTCGGCTTGCCCTCAAAAGGACCGCACCTTTGGTTCGACATGAGTGCCCCAGGCTGGAAAATGCTTGGCAACATCGCCACCTCGGGATCCCGCTTGACTCTATCGTGAAGTGGGTCGTAGGTTGGCGTCATGTGCGGTACCAAGTTGTCCTGCGCGTGTCGACTATGGGTGAACATTTCCACGCCACCCCTAGAATCGCTCGTGTCGTAAATATGACCCGGATAATATTGATATTCCTTCGTCGTCTCAATGGCTTTGGCGTCTTCCGGCGGTAGCATGGTCTCGAGTTCGGGATGGTGCCGTGTCGAGCCGTAATGAGCGCTTCCCCGAGAGTCAAAGCCTCCCCCGTATCCGCTTCCCACCATCGCACCTGCGGACCCAAAGTCGGGACCGATGATCGAGCTGTTGGGGTAGCCGGTGAAGCTCCCGCTCGAGCCTCCTGGCCCGCTGCTTGTGCTGGCACGCCTCTCGCTTTGGTAGTGCCCTGGCGACCGGCCACGTACAATCATCTTGGCCGACTTTCGATAGGCGACCCGCACATAGTTGTCCGGGCCTTGCGATCCTACATCGGCCCACAACTCAATCAGAAGGTGATAGTACTGCTGGGCAGCTCGCCTCTTCCCGTTGTTTGCTGTGGCTTGCTTGAATTGGATGCGCTCAAATGTGTGTTCTGTCTGGTACGAGTCACCGCCGCCTTGTTGACCAACGAACCCTCCTGGAGCGTCATACCCGCCGAGTCTTGACGAGCCTCCCATCGCGGTATCGTGGGGGTAGAGGCCAAGAGGATGCGACATTTGAGGATGTTTCGGGTGGAGGCGCACTTTGCCGGGCTTCTCGACGGGACCTTTATCTCTCTTGGGTGTATGCTGTACGAGGTCGATAACGTGGGTATCATTCTCAGCGACAACGGCCGAGATGGACATGGCGAAACCGAGGACTGAGTACGGCTGTGTCGAGCCTTGCGGTGTGAATTGTAGACCCTGGCCAGGATAGTGCGGGGTCAGGCCGAAAGAGCAGATACAAGAAAAGTAGTTCCTCCTGTAGCAGGTCCAGTCTCCTTCAGACTGGAAGAAGCCTTTGTCGATGTTGCCTTGTATGTCAATCTTGACTTGCCCCATGTTTCCGTCAGTGTATTGGAGAATGCCGAGGGGATTGATGTTGCCCAGTGGAGGTACGCTCGCCTGTGCCCTCGACGAGGACGAAGGGTAGTGACCGGAGTCCATCCTCAGAGCCGTGGGCGCCGTGAAACCGGTAATGGGACTGGAAGTTGGCGAGATGGGGTGACGGCGTAGAGCAGTTGGGTATGATGGAGATCTAGGCTGGTGCTCCGACACCCTCCTGAAGGATGGCGTCGCTGGAGAATACTGGTCTCGAGTGCTGATGTGTGTGCCAGAATGGGGTAATGCTGTGGAGCGGTGGGCATGTGCCATACCCGTTGAAGAGGTGCTACTGTCAAGTAAGTCTGTGAGTTTGACCATGTTCTTCTATCTTGACAGGATAGGATCGATTCCATCCGGTAGCGGGTCGGAGGGGGGGCAACAGTGTGCGACCTACTTTGAACCCAGGCGAGGCCTGACGACGTCCAGGCTGGGGTAGACGTGAGAGGTGGCTGGATGGTAGAAGCCGCCGTCAGCGGAGTACGGAGTGGTGTTGCTTATAGGTGGATTGAACAGGTTTAAGAGTGTCGACTGTTGTGGCGGGCCTTCGATCGTCGACAGAGAAGCATTGGCGTTGTGTTCGTATCTGATGTTCTCGTCAGTCCAAGTGGCTCCCCGAAAGAAGAGGCTTGTACAAAGCGAAAAGGTTGGAGCCTGGCACGACAACTGCTGTACCGCGTCCGCATGCGAGACACAGTGTCAGTGCTACCAACTCGTCGTACTGCCAGCAGCGTGTTGCACAACGGCCAGCGGATACAGGATCGGGTCATGCGAGGACGCACAACCATCTCGCTGCGATAGGCGGGAACGCCTGCGGACTTCTAGTCGTACGTTGGTTGCCAGAAGGCAGCTACCCACGCCTGTCCATCCTTCGCCGCTGAAAAGATCAGATCCCCTTGTCTCTGCATACGTCTTTTCCGCGTCCAAGGCACGCCAAACTAAGACGCTGAGCCGAGGACCGATCAGAAGAGAAGAGTTCGAGCCAAAGAGTCTGTATCTTTAATAGAGCCCGTAGAGCGAGGAGTACGATTGCCAAGTCGGTGGTGGAATTCTGACCAGGGCTCCGAGTGAATGGATACCCTGAAGAAAGCCATAACCGACCAGGCCTGCACACCGCAGCACCACAGTCCTGCAGTCCCGAGAAAGAAGCAGAAGCCATGTCCAGACAAAGACCGAGCAGGATTCGAGATCAAAATCAAAGAGAAGTTTACATACCGCATGTCATTGCTCGAAGCTGCTTGCATGTCAAGGTAATCATAGCCCGTCGACGGTTCGAACTCCTGTTTGGATGGCAGTACTTGTTAGATCATAGCCTTTTCTTCTTTCTTGGAAGAATGAAGATGATGGGAATAAGAATGAGATCTCGCAAAGTGATCTGGATGCTGTGCCGTTGCTGGAGTAGTAGCCGGGGGGAAAGCTGTGTGGGTGTTGCGGGGGCGAGACGCCTCAGGCGTGATCCGCCACAGACAAGCAGACAGAGGGGACAAGCGAGTGACCTGCGGCGCAACCATGGGCGATAGTTAGCTGGGCGTGCCAAAGAAAGACATCTTCCCACAAGGAGGTAACATGCGATAAACTAGCTTGAGAATGAGGTAGAAGAGGGAGGGGGTGGGTGCTGGTATTGGGGTTGACCGGTCTGGGCCTGGTCAGTCTCGTTGAGCCCGACCGATGAGGAGACACGGTGGATGCAGCGGCGGCAGAAGAGCAACAGCAGCGGGAGCAGTAGCGGAAGGGGAAGAGGGAGACAGCAGCAGGGGAAGGGAGGGAGACAGAGAGAGAGAGAGAGAGAGAGGTAGACTGAGTGAAAGAAAGAGAGGCTAAGAGACACAGAGACAGACAGAGACAGAGGGAAAGAGAGTGAGAGGGAAGGTGTGTGTGCGTGTACGTGTGCGTCTGGTGTGTGTGGGCGAGTGAGAGTGAGAGTGAGAGTGAGAGAGCGTAAGAGAGAAAGAGAGAGGCGAAGAGGAGAGGCAACATGGGAAAGACACGGTACAATCCAATACCATCAGGCACCACAGTGTACTTGCTTGCATGACTTGCAGATGAGCGAGCCTGCTGACAGGCCAGAGTGATACGTCTTGCAGAGCAGACACACACTCATACACACACTTATCTGCATGCTCACATCTCCCTCTCAAGCTCACACGCCCGGCTGGCACACCTCGCATCAACCCAGGAGTGAGTAAGTGAGTGAATGAATGCGAGGCGCCGCGATGCCCCCTCCCCAGCAGCCCGCCATTTGAGTGTCGGGGGACAAGGCATTGATGGCGGCGGTGGTGGTGGTAGTACCAATCGTCTCCGAGTCTTGTGTTCCTCGTCCCATCAGATGGGCCTATGGAAGTTCAAGGCCCCAAAAGAGAGCGAGAGAGTGTGAGGAAGAGCAAGGAAACGAATGAAGCACACAAGCATGCGACTGGAACAATTGCACGCATCTCGGTTGTCCTTGAATGGGCGCCCAAGTGTGCTCTGTTCTGCTGCATTGCTCTGCTCTCTGCTCTCTTCTCTCCACCTTGTTCTTTTTTCCTTGCTTTTTTTTTTCTTCTTCCTCTTGCTCTGTCTGGTTCGAATGCAATTCCAAGGGGAGGCAGGCGATTTGAGATGGCGAGAGGGAAGAAAAATGAGAAACAAGACGAACTCAAAGTGCCGTCGACGAATGTGTGCAAGGCAGGAGAGACATTGGAAAAAGCAATGAAGGCCAAATCGCGTACGCACCTTTTCGCGAAGCCTCACTCGGCCCGCTTCCTTGCCTGTCCGTACTTCGGGACAGGATCAGGCCGTCGGGACGTGGCTAGGAACGTGGACCTGGGCGTGGACCAGCCCTCGACTCGCCCGCCCTTCCTTGCCTGCGCCACCCGTTGAAGGCGTTGTTGGTTTCTGCGCGTCTGTCTCGCCCGTCTTGTCCTGTGCGTAAAATGTCTTGTCTTGCAATGTCTCGTCTTGCCGATAATGCTAATTTGTGCCGGATCGTAGTCGTAAATGTGCTGCTGATGAGCTAGGTAGCTGTGCAGCAGATCCGACCCCATCCGCCGACCGATGGACGGGTTCCTGGCCGGTCTAATCAATCAAAGTTGATGAACATGCCGGTCCATTGTTGTTGTCGTTGTTGTTGTTATGTTGCAGCATCCGCCGCAATTGTTGCTCCAGTCGATTTTGGTTTTTTTTTCGATTTCCGGGTACGAAGTATCCGTAGGGCACAGCGTCCGTTGCGATCCGATGTAAAGGAAATGGGAAGGGAAAGAAGGGAACGGAAGGGAAGAGGGCTCGGGAACGAAGCGTAAGAGTGACATTGCAGGGGGTTATTGTGGTTGTTCGATCAGGTAAGGCAAGCCAACCAGGATAGGAACATTGTATCCATAACGAGTCCCCCTCTTGGATAAGCCTGAGAGGGAAGCAAACGAGCCGCGAAAAAGGGAGGGATTCCGAAGGGAAGGAGGGGGGCAGAAATAGGATGACGGATAATACGGTACCTTTGGTATCTGTTGAGAATTCATACGACGGTCGTCCGTGCCGGCCACGAGGGGTGTCGTGCCGTAGTAGAGGGGCGGTGATCTGGTGCTGATGCTGGCGCTGGTGCTGGTGCTGGCGCTGGAACAGCGCTCTCGTCGCCCCAGTTCCTCGATCCTCTGTTTCGACACCGCAACTGTCAGCACACAATGTTCCCATAACAAACACCCTGGTTCCATTTCCAACCAACCCGACCCAACCATCCCACCAACACAGCCAATAACTCACCCAACCCTCTTCCACTGACTCGCTTCTGTTGTTTTTCCCTCTCAGATAGTCGGCAGGTACTGGCTTGAATTGCCGCGATGCTCGTAGACTCAAGAGAGATGCCTCTTTGCTCGGCTTCAAGAATCGACTCGAAAGAAACTCTTCCCAAGACTCCACGCGGGCTTACGGGGCTTCAATACTCACCGGTTGACTCTCCAAGAGTGCCCCTGTCATGCCAAGGGGTTGCGTGCAGCTCTTTATCCTGCTTGACCTAACCAATTCGATTCTGCCGTCAGCAACGGATCCAACTTGCGTCTCTGTCAGAAACAAACGTGGCCGTTTCTTTTTGACCCATGAACGCATCTCGTACTGCTCCAGCATGATCGATCAATCGTGTCAGAGACACCGCCGTTGATCCACGGGTAGGGCAAGAACAGCATTACGCCGTTAGAGTTGTGCCGTAGCTAGTGACAAATCCTCTTCGCGGATTCCAAGACTGCCTTATGCAGCGCACATCAAGCTGCTGTCTTTCCCGCCTATCTGGTTGCGCATTCCTAGTTGGAAATGGTCTGGCTGGGTCGTCTTCCACCACACTAGGTAATCAACGGAGAACGCGGTCTCACTCACTCGCAGGAAGAAGAGCACGACAGATTGCTACAGGTACCTGACATCAAGTTAGTTCTCATTTATTTTCCAGCAACAGATTGTGCAGCTGCCTCATCAACAATGGCCAGCAAGCAAGCGATTGTCCCCGTCCGCAATCAACGCGAATCGGATTCTGACGCGGGGCAACCGGCAAGATGGGTCCTGACCAACGAACCCCGGTGCAAATCGCCCTGGGTGGCCACCCACAACTTACGAAGAGGGAGCATCCCGCAAAGGAGACCTAGTGATAGTCCATGAGGGGGGTAGCAGGAAGAGTTACGGTTTTCACTTACTATATGGCGATTCTCTCGTGTTCTAACTTTTCGTGTTGATCAGATATCAGACTCTTGTTGGCCAATGTCTTGTCAGTCCGAATATCGGACACGCTTTCGAGGTGTATTGATGTAGGCCGTAATGCAAGGAAGGTGCAGTAACCCGAGCAGTCGATACCGGTAGCTTCTATTCGTTATGAATTGATATCGAAGGAGTCTCTGTTCTGGGATATGTAGTTGTCTAAGTCGAAGAGTCTACGAGAGGCCCCCCAAAAAAAGTGCAGGATCTTGGAAGCAAGGTATCTATATACCCTGCCAGAGAGAGACCCCAGATGTGGCTGGCTCAAGATCGCACAGAGAGACAGAGATGGGTTGGAGGCTCCAACTGCGACTGACTGCTGGACACAGTTACACAAACCAAGAAGCAGCAGACAGATGGATTTCGCAAGCAGAGGTCCGGCCGATGTCCTAGAAGCCCAAGGTGTAATGGATACAATATACAATATCGGAGAGAGGTAGAGCGGGGGCCTTCGCGCGCGAGCAGCAAATGGGTTGTGCAGTCTCTGAGACAACGGCAAAAAGAGACATTCAGTCGTGCGGCACTGCGGAGAGCTCCCAGATCCCCCGGTCGACTTCTCGAAAAGACGTGCTTTGCCTGCCTTTGGTGCTTCCTTTGCTAGAATACGATGACAGGCGTGTGAACCGAATGCGCAGGGTAGGAAAACGTCCCATCGCCAAGCCGTCAAGCAAAGGTACCGGGAGCCGGCTAGGGCCAAAGTCGAGGTATTTTGGTCAGGGGGGTGGGAGTCTGTACAACTCGACTTTGCTGCTGGCCAAGCTTCTCAATGGCCCAGGTCCATGGGGCTATTCAGGCAAGCAAGTCTTTGTGGCCGTGTCTAAGGGTGCAATCAAGATGGAATGATGCTATACCGCTCATCAATTTGCGGGCTGACAAGCGTTCAAGCCTGATGGCTAGAATCTCTTAGCCCGAGCAACGTTTCCATCGCCATAGTCTGTCTGTACATGACACAACAGATGGATTCAGGCTTAGATCAAGGCGCCTTCTTCGAACCAAGGGGCGGAGGATCTACTGACCTGCATCGGCGTGTAGCCGGGTGAGTCGAACTCCCTCGGTGGTGAGCGGAAGACGACGCCTTCCAAGCCTCGCTGAGCTTTCCTTCCATGCAGCAATTCTGCACCTACCCGTTCATCAAGGGCCTGGATGAAACGCCACAAACAACCCCTTCAGATAGGGCAAGGATTTGCCTTTGGCAACGAGGAGGGCTATCAACGGCAGCTTGCAGTTGTCACGAAAGGAGACCTTGGGCTGTAAGCGGACAATCCCGGCCATTGAGATCCAGGTATTGGCATGACGTCCAGATTTAACGGACACCCTGCGTTTAGTGTCGTTGGATTGGTTGAAAAAAGATGATGGTAGCGAATTCGTTCTGCAGCTGCTCTGACCTCGTGTCATCGGAACAATTGTATGCAGCCAGAGAACTTCAAGTCTAGGCTGACGGGGATGGCGGAGGCAGCCTCACGTCTTCTACAGCCACACCAGACACGTTTGGCAAAAAGTCGTGGTTTTGTTGAAGATCCACCACGTAGCTTTCGGCCCTAAATCCGCCCATGCGACCCAGCATCCTTTGGTGGCTTGTCTATGAGCACAACGCTCGAGCTGCCCCAGAATCAGTCCTGATGAACCACGATTAAACTCGACTTGTAGAGACGTGTCTCGGCCGGCAGAGACAGGCTCGCCACATGACACGTGCGATGAGAATAGGGTTTCGCCTCAACCTGGTTGACAGGTTGCCATCGGACGATTTCTCTCCACGGCACTGTGTTCTTAGGTTGTCCGCGCTTACTTCGACTAGTGGCTTGAGTGACCGTACGAATACTGGACGCCTATCCGAGGCTGGCAAGACCAAGCTCATCATCCATGGAGCCGAAGCATGACAATGCAGGATTAGAACAAACTTGAGCCGTGCTTCTTGATGGGGATCCAATGGGATGTCGCAATACCCGAGAATGGTAGAAAAGCAGGCTAATTCCAAACTGACCCAAAGATGGTGCGGACCGGCCAATCTTTTGCCTGAGGTCGTCAATCCTAGGGTCGGGAAGATAGGCTCTGCACCTCGTGTTCACAAGTGCAGGCTCAATATAGGCCAATGCGTTAGCTGATCAAGTCGTTTGTGCAGGTTCCCGTTGACTAGTCCAGAAAGATCTAGACAATTGTACCTGATGCGCGCGCCACCATACATGAGGCATGGAGCCAACTTCATTGTTTCAGAAGTCTGATTTCCGGGCCTTTTGGGCCACCGGACTGGTCGGTTGACTGATGGCCTGATATCCGCGGGGGGGAAGAATCAGTCCAGCAGAGCAGGGTTTGCATGTTGGACACTTTGCTGTACACGGCCAGAGCCACGGCCAGCACTCGTGAGACGAAGCTTGACCAAACGAAAGCCGATGTATCGAGGCTAATTAGCAAGCAGCTAATCGAGGATGGTCCAGTCACGCCGGATCGGGCCGCTCGAATTTGAGTGTGGCCGTTTCTTTGGCTCGTTTCAACGCTGCTGCTGCTACTGCTGTTGCTAATACCGACGGGACGGCAGATGTGTGAGGGGCGCTGACGATTGCTCTGTCGTGTCCAGCAGCATGTCATCGATATGCAAATCATGATGCGCCCCCCGATCTGAATGTAGCTTGACTTTACAGCAGCATATGCCGGATTCTTCGTCGTCGCCTGCGAGATGGAAGTGTAAAAGGCACCATTTCCCCATGTTTCTTCCTTTGCCTGCTTCCAGAGATCAGATCTTGTGTGATGTGACGTATCACGGACACCAGGGTCCTCTCAGTGATGGGTGGACACTGGCCGAGTAGTAGGAGAGTTGACGGCGGGCTTGCTGCAGTAATGAAAGATGTTGTTATTGTTGTTGTTGTTGTTGTTGCTGCTGATGGTCTGGCATGCATGAGGCCATAACAGGGGTTCGACGAGGGTGGTGACACAAGAATGTGCCGGGCAATTTGGAGAATCGCGGGAATAGAAGATGTTGCCAGTAAGGGCTAGGCGGAGTTCAAGACTCTGCTCCAAGAATTGGTTTCTTGACCTCGTTGGTATGCGTCCGTCGATTGATGCTTTGCGCCATTGAGGCACCCAGGCTATGTCGCAACTTTGTCAAGCGTTCGGTTTGGATAGGATCAGACCCCGTATCTAGAGGCCACAACAGCCGCGCAAGTTGGACATTTAGGGATTGGTATGGATGGATAGGGATACAGGGCTGGCGAGCGGTCCATGGCATGGGAGGTAAGTGGAATGAGCTGAGGGCGGCATAATTATTGCATTGTCGTCTATCCATAAGCTCCTTGCTTTCGGCTTGACGAGCAGGCCCAGCTACCTAGGTACCGATACGTATGCACTACGCAGGTGTAGGCATTATGAATGCTCTCCTGGTTCGAGTGGGCGATGTTAACTTGCTCCTAGGGGCCTTGTTGGAGAAGTTGAGCGCCATAGCTCGAGCAATCAATGAAGTGCTATACAGTAGTCAGCAAGGAGCCATACATTTCAAGCCCCTCAAGAAAAGGAGGAAACAAACCTGTAGGTACATGCATGCGGTGTGGTGTGGTGTGGCTGGCGGGCGTGGTCGATGAAGTGAACAGTCGTTGGCCAAGGTGGTCAAAAGAGCCTGCACTGTCTTGGATTGGTGACGAGGTGAGAGATGATGGCGGGGATGAGATGGAGTTGACAGTACTGGTGAGGAAGACACTCGCACGGTACGGTGTAGAAGTGGATCCCTCAGGTGAATGGATCGAGGGCCAAGTGGGTCTTGCTATTGGCTAGCGGGAGAGTGCCTCATTTACACGGCCCAACCTGCATAGCATCGACGGTACCTCACCTTTTACCTTCTCTAAGGTAAGGTGATCTGTACCTACCTTACCTACAGTACCTAGGTATCCGTAGTCGTTATCTTCACACCTGCAATATGTAAGGTAATATGTGGTACGGCACAATGCTGAGGTGGCATTGGGCTTACATTGTCTACGACCTCTATCCGTACCTTAGTCTTTGATCCCCGGTACGCCGAGTCGCCGACCAACATTGACTACCTAAGCCTGGTGGACCTGACGCACGCTGCCTGCCGGAAACGAGCTGCTTCCCCCTGCTCGTACACTGTGCCTTCCTGTGCCTACGGCCCTACGAGGTAAGGGCAGGTACTCACACCCACCCCTGGTACATACATTTTTACTTGGCTCCTCTACTTCCAAGTTCCCACAAACTCCGTGATGTCGTCGTCTTCACCTCAACTTACCAGAAAACTCCACGAGATATCTTCCTTGCCGTGGCTACCGCTGGATCTGTTTCTGGGCCTCATCCGATGCCTTGGCTCTCCGCTGGCTCGCTGCATCTCTCGCTGGCACTACCGCTCCGAGGCTCTTTTACCGACTCTTGAAGAGCACATTTGCTCCTCAGTCATACGGCATCGCGCCGCCATCGGCCATCTTTTCTCCCTTCGTCTCGTATTTCTGGCCTTTTTCTGGCTCTTGCCTTGCTACACCAGTCGCTTCATCTCTCAAGCTTTCTTCTGCACTGATACTTCTCCGGAAACATTGTTTTCGCTGGACAAACACCCACCCCTTGGAGGCCGCAAAAACGCAAACCATGGCAACTATGCCGTTCAGAACCTACAACAGGCTTGGTACCATATCTTTGCCAGATTTCAAACAAGTTGAATCAATGCCACTGGCCTCGCTCCATTTCCCAACACTTTCGTAGCCTGAACCGGCCATCCGCTCTAACAAACAGACGTCACGACTATGTGACTCACCAGCCAGCAGATATCTCAGAATTCGGAGCATGTTTTCCTACTCTCGACTACAGCATCTCCCCATACAGCACATGAATTGGGAGTCAGGGTCATGGCCATGGCCATACAGCATGAGTCTTGACCGGACCGTGTCCCGAACCCGCCTCATGTACTACTTTGTACCTCTAGGGCCTTTCTGGTACCAACGACGGCTTGCCACATGCTCTCTCTTTCGGTGTCATTATTGCCAAGTTATCTTGGGATGAGCCATGCCTCCGGATCACGATCTATCGCTGACTATTCGGGTCAGGCGTCCGGCTGCTGGTATCAACCCTACTTCTTCCCGACCTAACATCCCAGGAATGTCTCGCAGGGCGGCCTAGCAGGACGACAGGAGAGCCAAACGGATCGTCTCTCTTACATGTCCGGTCATCAACCCTTGCAAAGCAATCAAGTATACACGGACCACTTCGACAATGTAACAGCCGCTACGGCGACTGCGAGGGATCGGGTTCTTTTCTTCGGACACTCGGTAACCAAGAAGCAGGTATGCAGAGAGAGCTATCAAAAGGTTGTGGCTCTGCTCCCCGGCCCCGCAGAATTCTCCCACTATATGTGGCGTACGCGCCGCAGACTCGACAGGGACGTGCATTTCCAATGAGGTTTCTATCAGCAAGCTTCCTTGCCTGGACATGTACGAGACCTATGCAGAGGCGCAAGACAAGGGGAACAAAAACCTGAAAGGAGTGACTATGCGACAGCTGCCCACCACTTCTCGTCTCATTCGATGCGGGCATCTAGGTTCTGAACTTGGCTTATAACGAGCCACCCCCGTCCCTCTACGGCTTGCGACAGAAGGACCCGGTATGCTGGTTGCCTCGCGAAATTGTCAAAAAGGCGGTCAAGGAAGAAACTTCCAACTCTTGTTCTACGAGGAACAATCTCGTCAGCAGAAACTCTTGATGCTCACTTCCCGATACTCTTGCTGTACTCGCGGAACTCGTCTCCCGCACAAGGTCAACCCGGCATGCGTAAGCTCTTAGCTGAAAGAGTGAATTGACCGTGGCGCCGCGAGACTACCAGCCTAGGTTTTTTTTGCGCCATTCCAACGACAGGCAATGCTCTGTGGCCTGGAGGCCAGGCATCGTGACTACCGAGCATGCCATGCCCCCTGTCTTTGCAGGACTGTACCCCTCGGTGCAGCAACATTCATTCCAGGTGACACAAGAGGGCTTTAGCCGAAAGGACTTCCACATCATGGAAATATGGGCAGCCGAAAAGCGAAAAGGGACTGGCTGTCTCAGGGAAGACATCCAGAATAACACAATCAGGATCCGATCACTGCCTTCCGGTGTCGATTACCAGGCTCGTTCGGAAGAGCTACAGCGTATCGCTCAAGACGCCAAGATTCGGTTGGTTCGTGCGTGGTGTAGGCAAATTCTTGGGGGCCGATGGCTCACATGTCGCAGATCGGATAGTGGATGCTATGGCCATGGTTATTTCGAGGCTACACGGGGCATATGAGCATTCTTCTTGGAGCCATTGCCTTGGGATCGTCACGACGTTCACGGGGCTGTGACTGCCCATCTACCGAAAGGCCCCTCCCCAATGACCTCCCTAAGGACATGGTTCTCATCATGTTGCCTTTGATATCGAATCTGGCCAATGTTGGAACACAGATTTCCGAATTTGTTCGCTTTCTCCTTCCAGATTGGGACTGTCAATCTCGAATTGTCAAACGTACAAGACTCCGTCAGCAAGGCTTTTTGCCACCCAAGCGCCACCTCATGTTTCGTCTCCATGACCGGGCCCCTGACCATGTTGTGTAAGGCATCTTACTTCCCCGCTGAAGGCCTCCTTCACAACACAATGGGATGATTGGTAAAGGGTCAGGAGCGGTCAACCACCCAGGTTGTCCGTCCCGGTCGCCCTCGGGCATCCCTGAAGGCCTTCCCAGACTATCCGCAAATCTCCATCTGCGGGCTAGCAGCATGCTTCTGACCCGCCCGTCGTCTTGAGCGTACAAGAGTACCAAAACTCAAGATGTTGCGCCATTGGCAAAAGTCAACAACGAACACCGTATGTATCCAGTACGCACGTTGTTCGGCAGGCCAGTTTCAGGCCCGCCTGTCAGGAGCCTGCCATGGGCTTTTGTGGATGCAACGTTGGACGGGCCCTTAATGATAGACCCATGGATCCATGGGTTACCGGGCCTTTTGGACGTCGAGGCAAGCGCTACCACGCTTTTTACGTGGCTTACCTGCCTGGGGTATCAGAACAGCTCTGGCTTCGTACGCCAACATCTGGGTCTAGAGAAGGCCTAGCCCTCGATGAGGTCAAAATGATGCGATATCTTCAACGGGCTACTGACTCGTGATGATGGTAGCCCAATAGGATGACATGAGGAAAGTCAATTGATAGAGCCAGCTGTGCGGCTACCCGATCTTCAGGGCGCGTAGCAAAAAGTCCTCTTTGCCCGGCTACCACCATCATCTTCCCAACATGGATCCATCACTGATTCGAGACAGTCGTTGACAGCAACAGCTGAAAACACAAGACAGACAGCCTATTCTGAGCCTGGGTAGGCCCGAGAAGGTCACACAAACACTATCTGGCTACGAGGACGGATTTGGCGAGTATGATGAGTTGTGATATGGCGGCTTCTTGCATCGAAACCGCCATAATAAGCCAGTCTCAGATAAGAGTGTGGTTTGAGGTTCAATGGATCTAGGTATCGCCATCCATCCGTGGATGCTGGTGGCGTCCATGACATGCATTGCTCATCAGTCACGCCCCGCATTGAAGTGCCTGCTCCATGGACAGATGCTAAGGTGAGGTAAGGTAGGTAATAAGTCTTCCTCTTGGAACTCCTTGCTGAAATTACACGAAAGAGGGGTGGCACAAAGCTGGTGGATGTAGTCTTGAACTCTAAGGTGCTGTTAGGTCTAGCGGCAGTCGAGTTTGCTAGGCAAGGACTTTTACCTCATATTGCCCGCCCTGTGGTGAAAGTGATGGACAGAGACAATTAGAAGTTGATTGGGAGACGAGACCTGAGGGCCCCCAAAAGCCCGTCAGTCGGGCCGTAGAGGTTGTTGTTTTTGAAAGAGGGCCCGAGTCAATTTCATTCCTGTGAGGTAGTACCTGACCTTGGGTATGAGGTGTCTGAAGTGGGTCAAGCCACAAGGTTGTCGATTGTCAATTGTTCAGGACCTGCCGAGCCGTCGACCGGCAGAGCGGGTCCTGCCCGTGTCCGGGCCGGGGCATCTTCTTCGCACATCCGAACGCTCAGACCATGCGTTTGCCCCAAGGAGGAAAGGCTCTGCCCTGCCCTGTCCCTCTGCCCTGCCGCCCGACTCATTTAGTGATTCAGCACTGGGCAAGGGCATTAGGGAGTCTGGAAGTCCGTCTAAAACCGGGACTCGCCTCACTCAGCCTGGACTCTGGACGCCTGGAGTGGAGGGGAAGCAGCGTACGGAGTAACTATTAGCGCTTGTGGGCGGATTCAGTTGGTAACTGGCGGAAGCTGACAAACATCAAAAATGAGGCGCATGAGGGGTGCTGCTTCTCCCATTGGCAGCATGACGTTTGTAACGTTTCCCCCCCTTCCAAGCCACGCTACGGCCCTTATTCGATCCTAAAAGGCTACTAATTATTACTACTGGTACCTAATTAGGGCATCAATCAATCCTTTGGTGAGCAATACCTGCCCCGGGGAAAGCGAGGCAATGACTCTGCTGCTCTCATCTCGCCTTGCAGCTTATTGTGTATGCTGACTGACTGACCAAAAATTGCCTGTGACTCACAGCAGAAAACAAGCCCCGAGCAACTGGCGACTCATCTCGTTGTTACTGACGCTTACCCCAAGGCGAATGCAAAAGGCGGAAACAACATTCCAGAGCACAGGGAGTACATAGCGACAAAGCCGCGCCGGCTAGAAGCTTGTTTGCTCTACCTTGCTCTGCAACAACAACCATCGACGTCAACGACGAGAACCCACCTTGTCTGGCTTCTCCACCCCCGCCTACACCTCCCATCCGGAAGCCTCCTCTCACAGCTTCCCCCTTCCTTACCTTGCATCCATCTCTCACCCGGGCATGACTAAGAAAAGGCATCAAGCGTTATACTCGAAGCCGCAGTCAACTGCCCCGTCTTCATTGGGTGCCTCAGCTTCAGCCTCTTCATCTACCCGTAAGTCCAACTCCAACCCCACGCCCATCGCGCACACCCCCGGGCCGCGGCCCCCTCCTCTCCCCTCCTCTCCTCTCTTCTCTCTATCCCATTCTTGCCTTTCCTCTCACCGAGCTCCTTTACGTGACGTCGCTTCGGCCACTGACAATGATGCAACACAGAGACCCAACGTAGGGGCGTCAACGAACTTTTGGCTGATCTTCGTCGATCATCCTCCCGTGCTACCCCGACAGCATCAGCAGCAGCAGCATCGGCAGCGACCACGCCCACCGTCCCGCCCGCTCTCCGACAGATCCTCCAGATCCCAGAGACGCCTCCGCCGGCACCCAGGCGTGTCCCAAGATTCGACGCCACAGGCAGACGAGTACCACCAGGCCCGCCACCTCCGCGCAGCTGGTTATCACGATCCAGCCATGTCCAGCGCGCACACGCGACCGCCGCCCACCGCGGCGCCCAGGCCATGGAGGGCCTGCCTGGCACATACGAGCCGGACAAGGGCAGCCTGATGGATCTCGTCCTTCGAAGGATGGCCCTGAACTGGGAGCTCCATAAGGATTACGATCAGTACTACTTGCACACGCTGCCCAGCCGCGTCAGGGCCTCGTTGGCAAAGTATGTTGGCGTATGGTACGAGGGCGGCGCATCCGCTGCAGACCTGCACAACATTTTGATTCCTCCTACGACGCACGACGGCCAGCAGCCACTTGACGTCGATAGCCTTGTGTCCCTGAACAAGGACGTCTATTCCCTCGACCTGACTGGCTCGGTGGGCCACTCCATGTCTGTCAGAGAGTTGGCCGACGTGCTGTTCCCGCAGCAGCTGGCGAGCGCCGCCGAGGCCGTGCAGGATTCCTGGGACACAGCAGAGGCACCCTCGCTCCCGCCGAAGCTTCTCCCCAATATCACGCACCTCTGCCTCACAGTCGCCCCTAGCGCACAGCAAGGCGGCGGGTCGCCCGGGGTATCATGGAAGCAGCTCCTCTCGCTCGCGGCGAAGCTGCCCACGCTCACGCACCTGAGCCTAGCGTACTGGCCCGAGCCGTCGCTGACACCCAACGCAAAGTTCTCCAAGATTGTCTCGTCTGACGGCCGCGCCGAGAGTTATTCAGGCACGGGGGCGTACGCGCATACACTGGACGATGACTGGTCCGAGGCCGTCATTCTGCTGAGGAAGCTAAGCAAGTCTCTCTACGGGCTGGAGTATCTCGACCTCACAGGTTGCGGGGCGTGGTTCAAGGCGCTCATGGCCAACGTTGACGGAGACCACATCGACTGGACCGGGCCATGGGGCAAAGTAACAAAGCTGAAGTTGAGGTATGGATATGAAATCAGCGTGGACACGCCGATTGCGGACCACGAGAGGTTCCGTGAGGTGGCTCAAATGGCAAAGGCGATTGAGAAGTACATTGTAGCGCAAAGAGCTGGAAAGGGAAGATTCATCAACGTGGACAGTGATCCGATAGAGGACTCGCAAATGCCGTTGATGCCGTTTATATTTTGAGGACATACGAAATCAAGTTACAAATTATTTCCAGCACATATGCCTGAGTGTTCAATCATTTCTTCCAATTCAGAGTGCAATCAATATCGTGTCCAAAAAAGATATCATTCATCTTTGTTCGCCAGCCTGCCGCCGACTCGCATCCCACAGTTCTCTGAACCTGCCTCGTCCCTGGCTCAATAGGTCCCGGGGATTGCCGACCTCGACGACGCGGCCCTTGTCGAGGACCACGACGCGATCAAAGTCGACGACCGTGTCTAGCCTATGGGCGATGGCGATGATGGTGTGGTCTTTGAATTCGTTGCGGATGAGGTCTTTGACCATTCGCTCCGTGTGAGTGTCGACGCTGTGTTAGATGGATACTGTCAGTTTCCCTCTCAGAGGTAAACAGAATGCGAGTGACAGTGGTAGCAGAGAGGAAGAGAGAAAAAAGGGGGAGAGTGAAAAAGGGGGAGAGGAAAACAGGATCAAGAAAAAGGACAGGGAAGGGAAAGGGAGATTAGCTTTACCTGCTCGTCGCTTCATCCAAAAGGAGAACCCGTCCGACATCTTTTCTGAGAATCGCCCGCGCGAGGAAGAAGAGCTGTCTCTGTCCGTGACTCAGCGCCTCCTCTGCGAACTGGGCTTCTAGTCCGCCGTTTTCGCGGATGGTGTCCCATAGACCGACGCGGGTCAGGGCGGATACGAGGACATTCTCGGCGCCGACGTCAGATGCATCACCATCGGGTACCATGCCCAGGGGATCAAGATTCTGGCGGACCGTGCCTGGCAACACGAATTGGTCCTGTGTGATGGCGACGAGGGCCGATCTCAGGGGTAGGAGAGGGAGGGCGTCGAGGGGAACCCCGTCGATGGAGATTGTGCCGGAGGAGAGGGGGAGGAGGCGCAGGAGGGCGAGGAGGAGGGAGGATTTGCCGCTTCCTGTGCGGCCTACGATGCCGATTTTGGAGCCGGGGGGGATGGAGAGGGATATACCGTCTAGGGCTTTGGTGGTAGTCCCGGGGTGGGCTTCATCTGTGTCAGTTTCTGGGCGAGTCTGTTGGTCGTATGAAGCTACGATGTTGTTTATCTCGATGGCGCCGTGGGAGGGCCAGCCATGGACGATAGCAGCTTCCGACGTCTGCCGCATCTGTCCGCCGGCGGCAGACGGAGACTCCATCGTCACCCTCTTGCGAGCATCCGCCTCAACCTCGTCCGGCGTCTCCTCGGCAAAGTTCTTGATGCGGGCGACCGCGCCGATGGAGGTCTCGAGCGAGGTCCAGAACTGGATGAGCAGCTTGAGCGTTTCCGTAAAGGAGATGAGCTGGACGAGGGAGACGCCCGTGAGGGCGACCGAGACGGTGTCGCGGAGATGGACGGCGAGGCCGACGACGAGGAGGGCGAGCGCCGTGGTGGTGAGGTCGAGGACGAGGGTGAGCCACTGCTGAGTGAGGAGGAGGATGTAAAAGGGGCGTTGGGAGCGGTCTATGAGGGTGTGGGCGTGGGTTGTGGAGGGGTGTGTGAGGGCTTGGGCGCGGATTGTGGGCAGGCCTGAGAGGGTTTCGAGGAAGTGGGTGCTTTGGAGATGGTTTGATTAGATTATTTTTTTCTTTGCATAGACTTGGAAGATGAGTGTCAAGGGGTTTGGGGTTGTACAAGAGAGAGAAAAGGAGACTTACTAGACAGGAGCCTTTTCTTCGAGATCTAGGAGGCGGAGTTGGCGGGAGGTACGGAGGTAGGCGCGTTGGATGTAGTAGAAGATGAGGATTAAGATGGGGAAGCTGATGGCGATGTACCATGAGGCGGAGGCTATGAGGAAGGCTTTGCCGATGCAGGTGAAGAAGCCTGTGTGTGATGCTTGGTTAGATGTTGCTGTCATGGTTTTGAGACCGAAGTGGAGCAGAGGTAAGGCTTACTTGCGAGAGAAATTACCAGAGCCAGGGGAAGACTTCTGTCTATTAGACCTACGTCTTGTGAAAATCTAGGATGTGTTAATGTGACATTGCCATGGGAATGAGGGCAGCATAAGCGCAGGCTTACCGGGTGGTGATGGATCCGGTATCTGTTTTCGCGAATAGAGATAGAGGCGCGCTGGGCAAGACAATGAGATTCACGATCTGTGATTTGAGGGCTTGCAGATGGTACTCACTGCATGACGGCTTTGAGGAGACGCTGGTGTAGACTGATGCCCGACTTGGAGGCAACGGGAACAAGAACGAACCTGAAAATCGAGGTTATCAACTTGGGCTGTTTCTCGATTCCGGGACGGGGAGCCTCTGACTTACCAGATGAGGACGGCAAAGCACAAGACGCCGCTGACCTGGAAAGCGGCATATACCCCCAGGTAGTAGGCATCGTGGCTCACTGGACTTTCTGCCTGTGAGTCCGTCCAGAACTTCAGCCACACGGCTGGTATCGTATGTTAGTCATGCTTCTGTCGAGGAGCTTCTATCAATGTGTTGTTGAGACTTACTCGGAAACGTGGAAAAGAACGCCCACGTCACCTCCAAGACCATCAAGACAGCCACAAGAGAAGCGCCGACGCTACCAAAGTAGTAGCCGTAGACGCTCCAGTCGCCCAGCTGCCGTCTCTTATCATACTGTTCTTTCAATGCCTTGGCGTTCTTCTCCACCAGGGCGTCACTCCCAGTTCTATCTACGAGCTTCTCTGACTCGGGGGTGCTCTCATCTTGGTCCTCGGTATTGGCGGAGATGAGACTTGAGACGTAGCCTCCAGCCTTTCGACAATCGTCAAAGCCTCCTTTCTCTACAACTTTGCCGTTCTGGAGGGCGATGATCATGTCTGACTGGGATAGAAAGCTCACTGCATCTGCTTGTCAGCATTATGTATCATAAAGAGTGATGAGTATTGGAAGAGTTTATACCTGACTGAGTCGCGAGCACAACCGTGGTTCCCCAAGCCCGGAGAATTGCATTCTTGGCACCAAAGACGCGCTGAAACACTGCCCTAGCCGTATGGTTATCAAGCCCGCTGAAAATATCGTCGAAAAGAGCAATTTGAGGACGTGAATAGATGGCCCTGGCAAGTGCCTATAGGTTGTCAGTCGGAGGAAATGAGTTCACTTTAGAGAATCACATACGACACGCTGCTTTTGGCCGCCACTCAGAGCAATCCCCTTGCTTCCGATCAATGTCTCGTCTCCATCTGGGAGCTGAGCGAGGTCCTTTTCAAGATCGCACGCCTGGAGGACTTGGTGATAAAGTTTTTGGTCAAAGTCAGAGAAGCAGATGATGTTCTTTCGGATGGTGTCGTTCTGTACATCCAGTTAGTAATGCTCTTATACCCCAGACCGGAAGTTCACTCACAATAAGCCAGGGGCTCTGCTCACACCAAGAGATGCGATCGCTGGATAGGGCAATCGTTCCGGTGACGTGTGGCAGCTCACCGAGGAGACCTTTCAGAAGTGTACTCTTCCCGGATGCAACAGGCCCAACGAGCATGACGAGTTGGCCCTTCAATATGTCGAAATCCATTAACTCTACGGCGGGAACTGTTTCGGGCTTCCACGCCAACGTCACTTCTTTCACGCGAATAGCGATAGTGCCACTTGCCTTTGCGTCTGTTGAGACCTGCCCTCCGCGGCTCTCCAGATTCTGAAGTTGCACATCTTGAGAGAAAGAGCCCGTGAGTACACAGGAGCTAGCGGGTGAGTTTGGTGGAAGATCTCGATACTCTGCTCGCGGCGGCTCAGACAAGTACTTTTCGATGCGGTTGAAGCACCCCAGGGCCGCGCTCATATCGAGCACGACCTCAAACATCCAAAACAGCGGCTGTGCCAGCAGGATAATCAACGATAACGCGGCGAAGAGCTTCGTAGCGTCGAGGACATCCCCATTCTTGGAGGCAATCGTCGTGTACATGGCAAAGGCAACGACCGGGGCGATCATCAGGGGTACCTGGGCCACGGCGGACGTGACGGCGCCGATCACGCGGAAGGGAGTCGCCGCTCGCATCTCGGCGAGCCGGAGGTCGGCCAGAGTCTGGGAGAGTTTCTGGGTCAGGCCCGACATTTTGATGCTCTTGATGTGGCCTATCATGGCCGAGGTGATGCCTTTGAAGGGGGGTCAGCTTGGCATGCTTTTTTTTTGTCGGGGAGGAGGATGATACAGACCAATGCGCTTCTGAACCTTTTCAACCCAGATGATTTGGTACTTTTGAGCAGAGGGGGCGAGGAATACGGTGGCACCTAGAGCGAACACCGATACAATGATCGGACCAGAGGCCGCATAGCCGAGGTGAGTGCTGAGAATCCATGTGGCGAGGGCGATTTGAATGGTGTTGGCCCAGAACTCGTGAACCTCGCGCCAAGCACGAACGATTGCTTCAACCTGAGTGACGAGAGTCAGTATTGATGTCGAAGAGGGGAGGCGAAAAAAGTTGCCGTGACTTACATCGGTGGACATGAGAGTCACAGCCGCAGAGTCGTCTCCCGGCGCGACACGCAGCTCCGTTGTCTTCGTATAGATGGCAGCGACTAATACGCCTCGAAGCATGGTCAGGCACCGGAAAGCGGCGTGCCAGTAGAAGCTCGACGAGATGGAGATACCCAAGTACACGAGCCCATAGGCACCAACGAGGCCGTAGCCGTAGTTGGTCGACTCGGACGGGTGCTGCAAAAAGTCGAGGAACCGGTTCAAGATCAGGGGCTGGCAAATGGTGAAGCCGAGCAGGAAGAGCCTGGGGAGGACGACTGCTAGCAACTGCCATTTCAGCGTGACAATGCACGTCCTGATGAGACGGTACCTTGACGGCGATCGTGATGCTTCACTAGGCTGGTCGTCGTCGCCCGTCGAGAAGCTCGATGGGGTGGACTTGTTCCAGTGAAGCCAGAACCTCTCATTCAGCGCGGCAGCCGACATGGACGCGTCCAGGACGAATAGGTCCAGCGGCTTCAGGAGACGACGGAATCCCGTCAGCAGCAGCGGCGTAAGCCACCAAAAGAGACCGCGGCTGTAGATGCCGCTGGTCTCCTCGGGGCTGTACGACCGTCCGCCGGCCGACGACGGCACGAGATAGCGCGTCTTCTCCCGGGCTTCGAGGATCACGATGGCCGCCTTGCACGCGAAGGACGCGGCGAAGACGGCGCTGATGGCGACGCTTAGGTGCGACAGCCACATGGTGCGGAGGATGGCTCCGTCCAGCACCAGGGACACGAGGATATATATATTCAGGATGGACGAAGGCTTAAGGCTCTTCGCGTGTTCTATGTACGAGAGTCCGGCAAACATGACGGTGGCAGCGAAGGACGCGCACGAGGCGGCGATGGAGACGGTACGAAGGCGACTGCCGCTGCTGCCCCCTGCCCCTTCCCCGCCCCCGACCACGACGATGTCGCCGCGACGGTGCGTTGACCACAAACCTATGAGAACCAGTTGCAGGATGGCGAGGAGGGCGATGGCGGCCTGTTTTGTTAGACGGAGCGTGGTGCCATTGACAGAGTAGGGGAGTCTGCCGAGGTAGCGGAAGCGTAGGGGCGCGATTAGGATGAGGAGCGAGGCGGGGAGGATGGTGAAGAGGCATTGTTCAAATGTTAGAGTGAAGTCGAAACCGTCGCGACAGTGCTGGACGGTGGGCCCGAAAGCATCGTCGGCGGTGAGGGAACAGCCGTCAGAGGTTGAGTTGGCCATGATGAGTGTTGTTTCAATAATGGTAGAAATGATTACGAAATTCTTTGGAGAAGCAAAGAGGTAAACAGGTAAGGGCATGAGGGGGGTAGCTCGTTTTAAGGGACGGGAGATTAAGCTATACGTTGCGGCACAGTAAGCCGAAGAGTGTTCCCCTGAGACAAGTCTGTTTGAGGAAGGTCGGTAAGCAGAATTATTAGCTCTAAGGAGACTAGTGGTATTCGTATTATTTAGGATTCAGGAGAGTAGATGATAGAACAAACAGGACTCAAGAAATGGTCTGAAAAACGAAGCTATTCGCGACACCGCATACTGCAGCTATCCCAAACTGTGATCTTCTGCTTTGGATAACGGTGCCAAGAATGGACGTAGTTGATTCCTCTTTGCTCCTGGTGGAGTGACGATCTAGCCTGGAACGAATGCTTTCAGAGAGTCCAGGGTCAAATCAGAGTTTAGCGCTGGTCAAGATCCCCGGGGGACTCATGGTCCTCTAGGGCTACGGGTACGGTGACTGCATCGGTAACTCACCGGAAGACAAAGAAACCATCTTGAACCTCCACAGGCGGTAAGCACCCTCAGAAGCAAGACCCTGAAGAGTCTCGACTGGCCATGGAGGCTCCAAAACTTGCTGCCATATCCTTGTTCGTCTCCTGTTTTTGTTGTTCTCATCCAAACAGGTTTCCCGGGTGTCATCCGATGGCCGGCTGGCGACGGGGCCCTGTCACCCTCGTGAAAAGGTACGTACCTACACATCCAATAGCGTGGGTCCAAGCGCGGTCCCCAATTGGGAAAGAAATGCTGTGGCTCAGTAACGTAGCCATAGAAAGACCGATGACGTAAACTTGGATATTGTCCTACACAGTACCTGCACATCCACAATCCGAACAACAACTCACCAACCACACACCCTTCTTCCATGACTAAAAATCTTGGCCACGTCAGGCTCGAACTAGACCTGCTGTGTTGTTCAACGCCTCGCCAGGCAAGATGATGTCTCCCTGCCTGTGGATTCTTGCACTTGTTTGTGGCACCCACGTTGCTCTAAGGCCGCCCAAGTTCCAACTACCGCCCTCCCTTCCAACCCCCGTAGCATCTGCGCCTATTCTAATCATGGCTTTGCCCCCAGTCCAGGCGGGTGACGCCAATGGGGCCGTTGACCTTGTTCCTGTCCATAGAGTCTCCATCACAGCATTCTTTCACGTCCAGTCAGGGTCCCCTCGGTTGCATCATTGCCGGTCCAGGGTCTTAGATGGCTGGTTCGATGTGATTCACTCATTGCTCCTAGGCCACTTGGTCTCCCTCAATAAGGCCTGAACCCCTTTGCTACCTTTAAAGTCTTCCAGTCGCAGGGTCTTTTGATTTTGAACATCACGTCTCCAAGTGACAGGCAGTACCTACCATAAGTCTCTCGACAAATTTCAGGTCCGCGGTCACGAATATCCGCAGTGTACCCAAACAATCTTCCTCCAGACCCGTCTCCATCCGACCATTTTTCACTTGTTCAACTCGAGCCAAACTAGTCATTGTCGACAACATGCATTTCACCGTGATAGTACCGTTGGTACTGTCCATCGTGGCATTCGTCCTCTCCTTCCTCGCCCTCTTTGCTGGGCACAAGGAGGGATTCATGGAAGATTACGACGTCGTCCGCCTCAACACGTCGACCCTGGGCCACAACCTCATCCCCTCCGCAACCTCGGAGGCTGATCCCGCAGCGACCACCGGCAGCTTCCTCGATAAGTTCATCGACGGCGTAGGCGACAAGGTGTCTGACGTCCTCAACGACATTGGCAACGATGTTGCCGACCGCCTCGCCGACGAGTTGGGAATCTCCGAGTGGTACTCCCTGCACCTGATGGATGTGTGCCACGGTCAATTTTCTCCCAACGTCACGGCACCCAACGTCTGGCTGAACGTCACGAACTGCACTCAACCGTCTCCTGGTCGTACGTAAACCCCACTAGTACCTTACCCTATCATCTATCGTAAACACTAACATGGAAACACTAGCAAACGTCAACCTCACGAAGATGCTGGACCAAGAACTCGAAATCGGCCCTCTGAGCTTGAGCCTGTCCGACCTCAACTGGCCCGACACCATCGAGGACGCCATGGACAAGGTCAACAAGGCCCTCCTCGCCATCTTTGTCCTCTACGTCATGGGCATCGGCTTCTCGGGTCTCGCCATCCTCGGCTCGCTGGCCGCCTTCTTCCTCGGCTTCAAGAAGCGCATGACGATCACCAACTTTGCTTTCGCCTTTTTGGCCGCCCTCGTGCTCTTCGCCGGCAGTCTGGTCACGACGATCGGCGCGAAAGAGGGTGCGAAACAGATCACCGACATTGGCGAGGACGTCGGCATCTCGGCCAAGGTGGGGCAGAAGTTCATGATCATCTCCTGGGTGGCCTTTGCCGTCATGTTTGCGGCGTCCGCGTACTGGGTCACGCAGTTCTGCGCCGAAAGGCGGTCGCGCCGAACGCCGCGCGGTTATACCGAGAAGCGCCATAAGAAGGGCAGCTTCTAAGAATCGAAGCCGAACTCCGCCGTTCTGACTCGTAAGAGTCGTCAAACCATAAGTGTGCCTTCATTTCTCTCAGATTAAGAAACCGCAGTACGAAAGCGTTGCATTTGAAACGATACCTTTGTCGTGTTTGCCCCTATAGCTGGCATATCGTGGCTACTCCCGACATCACGATCCTTTTTTTAAACCTTGTTAGAGATACCATTGTTGCGATATATAAACCCAGAGTACATTATTTCATAGCTTTACTAGACATCAATAAAGATGTTATCAATCAAGTAAACCCAGCCCACCTTGAACACTCCCTGGCCATCATTAGCGAGACTCTACGACTGTGACGGTAACTTTCACTTGGAAACTAGATACGAGTAAGCTCTGAATTCAATACGAGAGTCTCGAATACCCGTGACCTGTCCAACTTCGTTCACACTCTCCAACATCGGAATCTGTCTTCGGAGGCGATCCACCCCGGCTCCGGCGTCACGCACCCCGGAATGTGGGGTACGTCATTCCTCCCCAAACAGGCAACAACCACCATGTCTCAACCTTGGTCAAATGAACCCAACCTTGACCGTAAAGTTGGGCGCGCCACACTTCAACTTCACTTCATCTCAAGAGCTCTCCGACTCCTCAAGCTTTCACCTCCGCTGAACCGGTGCCTTGGACATTTTTTTTAATACGGTTGCTACGTGTTCCTGTAGCATTTCGTCCCGTCTGCCCTCCCACACCCTTTTTATGCCTTCTTGTTAGTAGAGAACTGCCAAGATGCCCTCCCTCCCGTTCTCAGACCGCGTCTCCTCCGCGGCGAACATGCAAGGCCGCAACGACAACGGCGAAGAGGAGTCCCTCCTCGGACGGGGCCAGCAAAAGGTGCGGCGTTTCTGGGATGGCTTCATCGACTTTGCCCTGCAGGGCAACATTCTCGAGATTGCCTTTGGTTTGATGTAAGCCGTCCTTCTCCTAACCATGCTCAACATGCATGTCATTCCCCAAGCATGAAGAGACGACTCAAGAGCAGATCACTTCCAAATCGTCAACGTTTATATGCAGCAATGTTGTGTTGGAGAGTGTGGCTACCAAACTTCATGTTGGGCATTTACCACGATGGAAGGGGATTCTGTTGTATTGACACACACTGTTTGATAGCATCGCGGCCGCCTTCACAACCCTCGTAAACAACTTTGTGCAGAACATCATTATGCCGCCCATCTCCGTCATCTTCCCACTCAACCGCAACATGGAAGAAAAGTTCGCCGTCTTAAAGGGCGGCCCGAACTACACCCACGACAACAAGTACACGACCCTCGAGCGCGCCAAGGACGACGGTGCTGTCGTTTTAGCTTACGGGTAAGTTTTTTTGTCTCATGCGCCTGTTTCTGTGTGACTGTCACCACGGAAAGTCTTCATGTTGTATCGAGTTCGTCTTGTTTGGAAGCACTCATTTTTGGGACTCCGGGGCAATCACACACCCAAGGAAATTCACCCAACAGTCTCTAACGAACCACCACACAGCTCATTCCTCAACCAACTCGTCTCCTTCCTTTGCGTCGGCATCTCGCTCTACGGACTGGCCCACGTCTTCCAGTTCTTCTCCAGGGAGCCGATTATTAAGCATACCGTTAAGTGCAAGTACTGCCGCAAGCGGATCAGCAATAAGGTGAGTCCACCCTCCTACCGGACCCTAGGCATCCCCGAGATGAGAAGAGAACCCGTTGAAGCTAATCCATCGAGCGTAGGCGCAACGCTGCGTCAACTGCACCAGCTGGCAGGACGGACGTGAGGAGCGGGCTCATCAGTAATGAGGTTCTTCTCTAGTTTCTTTTCCAATTTTGGTGGGATCGTGCGCGAGGTGTGTGTTTCTTTCTTCTTAAACTCGGGTTTTAGCATGTCCGGGGTGGAGTTGGCAAGGCAGCATCATGGAAGTCGGGTGTCGGGTGCTGGTGTCCATGAGCATTATTTCAGCATAGCAGGGTTGGAGTTGACAGAGTTCAGTGTCGTTTCGTGGTTTATGAGTATTCAAAGCATCATCATTGAAGATCAAGTCCAAGCTATCTTAAATGAAGTGACCGATTCTATTATTCCATGTATTCGTATTCTTTTTTTAACCCGACCAATCTGAATCCTAGCAAGGACTGGCGTTACCGCCTATTACCACACCCTTACTGCTAACAGTACCATCATTGTGAGAAAGAAAAAAAAGAACTACTATCATCAGATCCAGCCACTCTTTGTATCTCTTTTTTTTTTCCTTCCATACTTACACGCCAGGCATCGTTTCCTCTGCAACGCCTCCGTTCCGCCTGAAATACTCCTTTTGCGCGCGCGGCGACATGATGTGGCGAAACGTTATAAACGCCGCACAACAGAGGATGAAGACGCCGCCCACGCAAGCTAACGCGATACCGGCCTGCACGCCAGGTTCCATTGCTTAACTTACTTCTGTAGTCCTGCGAGGTGAGATGAGGGAGAGGGGGAGAGAGGGGGGGGGAGAGGGGCAAAAAAGAAAGAGACTGTTGTCCCTTGGCTTGCAAGTATGAGTTCAATTCCTGGAGTGAGACTGTGGGAAAGGCGAGACGCAGTTTTTGCAATCTTTCTGGCTGGCAAAGTTGTGGACGCTGGGAAGGAAGAAGTGGGAAATGGATTATCGTTTGATAGGATTGTATCTATATAATATGCTACTGCTCAGATACAAGAACGATTGCGATTCATTGTCCAGCTGTGCTGATACTGGTTCAATAAACTATGCTTCGGTTGCCGTCAGCATGACAGCCAAAGTGAAAGAAAACACCTTTTCTTTGACTCACACAAAGTCAATGAGGTGAAGCGAAATCAACGCCACAACACGCGACAAAAGGTCACCCTCGATGACGAACGAGAGAAAGGTATTCTATTACAGTCCGAACAGTCATTATGCGTTTAGAAACGCCGCGACTCATTCGCAAGGTCGCCTGTTGCTGTTCCCGAAGTACACTCCACGGCTCGATGCCTCAACTGAAACAACATCTTCAAAGATTTGGCTCCGCCACCGGCGTACTTAGAACATTATGAACCCAACTGCAGCAAATGCACCAGCGACAAGACCCTTCCAGCCGGCACGTGGTGTAGCGGCATTAGCAGTTGACGTCGAAGAGGCCTGCGCAGTCGTTGCTGTTGCAGCGGACCCGGATCCGGTCCCAGACCCGCTCTGCGCCGATCCGGTGGAGGACGCCGTAGCCGTTGCAACCGCAGTCGCAGTAGCGCCGGTCTGAGCTTGCTGCAACTTCTCCAGGCCAGCGGTGACGGTGAGAGGAACGTAGAGGCTTGTGGCCGTCAGAGGTGAAAGTCTCATGTTGGCCATCATGGCGGTGTTTCCGCTCTTTGTCACAATCTGCTGGTAGTCCAGGCCATCGCCTGAAACGGTACCAATGTACTCGATTGATCTGGATAAAGAAGATTCAGCAACCACAATCAAGAGTGTGCCCGCACAGTATCGGATGCGCCTGGGTGATGGAATGACGAGTAGATTAGAGTTTGGGGACGACTTACACTCCGCTGGCAGTATGGTCAATGTGAAGTTCCATGGTCGACGGCCCTCCCACGAGGGTCATCAAGGCCGAGGGGTCCTCGCGACATTGATAATTCGTGCTGTTGGTCTGGCAGTTCACGATGTACGTCGTCGCGGTGGGATTAGCGTCCTTGATGGACGCGTCGTAGGGGTTGTCACCGAAATAGGGGTTCAGGACGCTGATCACGGACGTGGTTTGCGCCGCGGCGATGCCCACGAGGGCTAACAAGGCTGTCGTGCTGTGCTTCATCTTGTGATCAATACGTGGTAAAGAGGGCAAAGAGAGATGCTCTCGTGAGTGTCGCGGCGAGGCAATGTTTTTCTTGGCTGGCCATCGTGGTCAATTTCCCGGCAGAGCTGTGCCGCAGGCTGACTGGAGGAACTGGGCCCGAGAGTCCATGGCCATTTCTGGTCAAGCGCTCGTGTCATCGTGTGTTGGTAGCGAGAAAAATAGAAATAGACGAGAGTTCCAAAACGTCAGTCCAGGCTGCCTTTGGCAAGCAATATTCCGATTGGATGCAGCGCAACAACGTTGGCCGTCATTCTGATGAAGAGAATCAAAGGTTTTTACGGAAGTGATGCCAAAAAAAACGACTTCTTGCAAACCCAGATGATTGAGGCTAGCTGGCACACTTGAGTAGCTTCGCACGCTATAATTTCCTGACGGATCGGATCGTGACTTCTATACACCACGCAATTGTTTGTACGACGTTTGAGGTAACCGCAACATGCTAAATTTGTCCATAGCTGCCTCTTCAGATACTCGTTTTGGTGGATTGCATCGGGTACCTAATTCTGCATCGGATAAGACACCAATTGCTGCCAACTGATGCGCAAAGCAAAAATTGTCTAGAATCGGCATAGTTTAAACAGTTCTCAGCGATTGGTCGCCATAGCATGGGCGTGGTAGCTGTGCAGTTGGAGCTGAGTTTATTTTGACATCTTTCGGTCTGAGACTTCGCGGGCCCAGATACGCCGAACTGTTGCGGTGAGGTTACCAAGACGCTTCGGTTGCAGGATGCCCCGGGCGGAAGCAGGACGGATCGGATGAAATAGCAACATACACTAGAAATTCCTTGCGGGTTGATCTCGGCGTAATTGATGGGATGAACGATGAAACAAAATCGCTGGAACGATCGCTTAGAACGATCCAGTAGCCAGCGCACAGAGACCTACACAGTACAGATTGAGGCTGGGGTTAGCAGTGCGACTTCAACGTCGAAATTCGATCGTCACAAAGACGAAGGCGTAGTACCGGCGGGAGCCGAGATCATCGTCTATCGCACGTGGGTAGAAAGTCAGGTGAATGCATCTGCAGCAGTGGATAATGACCACACGTTCGGTCCTGCCTAACACGGATGAGGGAATTGCAGCGAGCGGAAAGAGGGCCCCGAGAATCGCAGTCGGGGCCTATCAAACAGCAAATTGAGGCGGAATCGGCTCCCACTTGGACTTCACTTCCACTCGAGGTCCAGATATCGTATGTTCCACGTCGACGAGGGCATGGTCAAATCTGATCATCTACGATCGCAAGGTATCCAGGAAAGATCCGACAAAAGAAACCGTTGGATGGCGGGGAGGTGAGAATAAGGCTGTGATGCTTCTGGAGAGGTATTTTTGGCCAGGCCGGGTTGTGGGCATGAAGTTCCGGAGTGATGCCCAGCATTAAGGACGGGATGGGAAGGTGCTGGTGTTTTGGGGAGAGGTTTCCTCATGGGATGCAAGTTACCTAAGCCTCCTCAGGAAAGGCAAGACCATAAGAGTAATTGAGGTGAGTTGCGACTTCCTCAGTAGCGCAGCGGAGCGGGGATGAACGGGCATGACGGGGCCACGGGGGGCTACGGGGGGCCAGCCAACCCCTGCCGGTTCCTGCCTGGCTGGCAACGTCCGGCCAGTCAGATGGCCAGTGACAAGAGGACCGTCTCCAGTTCGGGCGCCCGTGCCCACCCAGCTCTTATTATTATTTTTTCGAAATTCACGGTCTTGGCATTTCTTGGCTTTCTTCCCTTCCATCCTCTCATCGTCGTCCGTTTTGTTTCCCTCGCCCAGCTGCCAATGTCCACCACTAGCGTTGGATGATCCAGCAGCCATCGGCCCTTGGCCATCAGGCGAACCGCGGTGGATGCTACGGATACAGTGGTACACGCACACACTGCTGAGACCTACGCACGCTACGGTTGCCCAGCTATCGCACGCATTGCATTGCCCCCAAGATGGAGGTGCTCAGCTCGCATTACACCCACTGCCTGCAATGCAGCAGGTCTGCTGCTGGATTGCCTTTTGGGAAGGCCGTTGACGGTTGAAGTCTCAACCTGAGTGACGGGAAACGCCGTCGTTACGAGGAAGCCACCTACCGAGTACACGTTAAGGATACAATGAGCATGAGGTATGCCGAGACAAGGGCAAGCCACCTTCGTCTCCCGTGGACCGTGGACCTTCGACCCTCTCACACATTCGCCGAGTCTCCTAAGGGCGCCGTACCATCTTGTCCAAAAGTCTTGGCTTCCGTCCCATTTTGCTAAAAGAATGCCAATCACTCACCTACTCTCCCGCCCAGCCTTGGCCGGCAAGGACGGCGCATTGGCAGAGGCTGCAAAGTCCTCAATCTCTCCCCGACACGTCTTTCTGCTCACCTGAAGGTTGAGCCGCTCCCCATTGCTCGCAATACTGCCGTCACGACAATACATCTCCCTCACCGGAAAACCCTCCTCATTCTCTCGGCCCCGTTCCCAGCTTGCTCTTTTAAGGAAACGGACCCCTCCAACCAAGACACAACCTCTCCCTGCTTGCTGACAGCTCCGGCTTTGCTGTATTCGTCGTACCTTATACCATCGCTGCACCCGCGAAACACCCGCTACGACCGTCCCATGCTACAACCAGGGTCACTTACCACCGCCGCGTACGAACAAACCCACTCTCCGCCCCAAAGAACGGCCAACGGCCTTTCCTCCGACCTTTCTCCTACTTTGATAGGGAATTCAACGGCGTGTCACCGAGTCCCCTTCTGGCTCCCCCAGCTTCAACGCCCGTCCCGTCAGCCTGGTGGTCCGCTGCATTGCATAACCTCGCCTTGCCCGTATCGGTAGCTGTTCGACCCATGAACCGCCTCCGGTGGCTCGTTGACGTCAAGCACTGCTGTACCTTTCGATCGGCTCGAGACTCGACCAATCCACATTCTACGTCGCCACGATGAGATGCCCACAGCCTTTCGCCGCTTTGCTATCACTGTATTTCCTTTCCTCGAATGCCGTCGTCGCCGATGATACCACCACTGTTCCGATTTACCTGCCGCACTATGATGCAAATAGCTGGTCGCAGCTGCGGGGAAGTGTAATTTCAAGTGTACGAGACTCCCCATGCTGCCGAAGCTCCCTCTCGACTGCAGTTGCTGTGATCTAACTATGTGCGCCATCGTAGAATGCCAAAGAAACGACATATACCGTCTTCTGCCCGCCACAAACAAGCCCTAATTGCGACCTCGCCATCGAGTTCCCCTTCGTCTTCTCCGAGGGCGAGAGCACGCTTCAGTTCCACGGCACCAAGACATCAACTCTGTAGGTTCTCGCCTCCCCGCAACACGTACATCGCTTGGGAAGGAATGCGACAGCTAATCATGACGTGGACGGACAGCATCGCCGATCTGGGCTGCACATTGAGCGGGACGACAGCTGCGACATGTTCAGGGTACTCGAGTCTGAAGAGCGGATACATTAATGGCAAATTGACGGGACCGACCGAGGTGTCATGGACGTCGACCATGACCGGCTCTGAGGTGGAATGGGGTATTCTGACTATGGCTGAAGAGCCCGCAGCTACAGCAACCCCAGCGACGACCACGACTGCCGATAACTCGAACTTTGACGACTTCTTGTACACGGACAGCCTGTCGCCTTCATTACCTGCTGAAACCAATCCGAGCGCCGCCCCTCGTCTTGGGCGCAGCTGGGCTCTGGTGGCATCATTATGCAGCATGGCAGTTGTCGCGTTGGTGGCATAATCAGCGACATTTCTACGCCGTCATACCAGCTAAGGCACACCATATACCCACTATAGCAATCACGAATGATCTGCTACTCAAAATCCGAAAGAAAACGAAATAGAAAGCGGCATTATCATTATGGAAAAACAGCATACAAAGCAGACCAAAACTAGGAATCTGGATCTTGGGACTACGATTTGGAGAGGGTGATACATTATGAGAGTTTTGCCCCCATGTCAGCGTAAAGGGGAAAGCAAGTGGAGGATCGTTCGAGCCCATTGCCTTTTGCCCAGAGAGCTTTGTCATTTCTCGCAATGTGCTCCCTTTTGGAGTTATACCCCGTATCGGCGTTAAATTATTTACGATCAAGGGCTAAACGGCAAATATAAACATGGAAAGGAGAGGAGGGGACGACTCCTAGTCCTATGATTCTCTGTGCAAACAGTTTCATCGAAAATGCGTGTCATTCATCCACCGAGAACATATCCGTCAGAGCAAACCTGTCACGCATCTCATCATCTTAGAACGAACGGATCCTTCGAGCAGTCACACGTCAGACAGGGCACCCGCCAAATTGGTCGGCAGTCCTGCATTACGTTCCACGCAAGACAGCATGCGCGTGGAATGCGGACATTTGTTCCAATCGGACGACCATCGATTCTTCACAAAGCAGCAGGACGTCAAGTATAACGTGTTGAATTTGATTTCAAGAACATTAGAAAGCTTCCAGGGGTATGTATGCCTTTCTTCTTAACATGTTCAGCAAAAGATGCCTTTACCAAACGCCGATTACGCCTTATTTCCCCTAGATCCCATTCTACACAAGACGGAAATGCCAAAATAGCAACACGGCGCCCAAGACGCTTGTGTATGTACATTTGAGCAAGATGTTTTCTGCGCCACTTTGGTTCGGGACGGTGGCGGGAGGCGGGTCAGTCGTCGAATTACTCGTCGAGTTGTCTGTTGCATTTGTGAGGCTGGCGCAATGCCCGTCAGCGGTTGATTCCTCCGTTGACTGATTTCTGACTGGACGCAGGACGCAGAAGGACGCAAAGGAGGGTTGGCTTCGCGACGGAGGTTGTCGCAAAAAACCTACTGGCTGACGACGAGACCCTGGATAATCTCGAGCGCGCTCATGGTCTGGCCCAAGCCGTAGTTGCCGTCGTCGCCGTCGACGTACCACTTCTGTCCGCACGTCACGTTGCCCGCCGTGGCCTCGCAGACTTTGGCCGCCGCGAGCGCGCTCGGGATCAGGATCTCTTTCACCTCGGGCAGCAGCGCGGGCATGACGACGGCGGACTGCCACATGAAGCGCGAGAGGTAGCCCTTGAACGTCTTCATGTCCGTGTTGCAGGTGCCGACCGTCTCGCACGCGGGCTCGTACATGATGTTTGTGCTGTTCTCGGCGAGGGAGAAGAAGCTCTTACGCGCCGTGGCGAGCATCTTTGTCGCGCGGTCCGCCCAGAGGGCGTCGCCCGTGTGGTTGGCCATGACGGCCGCGCCGTAGAGGTAGATGCCCGTGGAGTAGGTGAAGGAGACGTAATTCGTCTTTGTGCAGTTGTCGCGCGAGTCGGCGCCGTCGTAGACTTTGAGGTCGGCGTCGAGGAAGCCGACAGTGGCGGACCAGTCCCAGACGTACGAGGCCCAGTCGGCGTAGCGGGAGTCGTTCGTCGCGGCGGCGAGGCGGGCGCCGAGCTGGAAGAAGCCGCCGTTGCTGACGCTGTTTTTGTAGTTGAGACCGTTGGGGTTGGACTCGTAGATTTGCCAGAGGAGCCCGCCGCCGCAGTGCGTCATGTTCCAGCGCCCCGCGAGGGAGTTGAAGATGTTGCGGCCCATTTGGAGCCATGCCGGCGCACCCGTCGAGGCGTCGGGGTCAGGGAAGTTGCGCTCGGCGGCGGACATTACGGCGAAGCCCCAGAAGCCTAGGTCGTCGTTTCCTTCTTCGAGTTCGTGCTCGTGGGGCATGAAGTCGTAGTTGGGCCCCGTGTTGACTTTTGCGGTCAGGGCTTGGGTTAGGACTGCGTTGTAGGTTGCGTCGCCTGTGTAGTGGAAGTAGTCCATCATTATGCCCCAGAGGGCGCCGGCTTGCCACCAGTAGTATGGCTCCGGGAGGTCGCCGACCATCTATAGAGGTTGTGTTGGTCAGTTCTCGTACTCGATGTTTAGATTGTCCCTCTTGTTCATGGAGATTTGAATGTCTGTCTAGGTTGTCATACCTTGGGGTCGCTGGAGACGTTTCCGTTGTAATAAGACATGGCACCGAAAGCCAGACTGCCGGCAATAGCCGTGACGGAGTCTTGAGGCTCTGTTAGCAAAAAGCCTTACACATTTGAGATTTGAGGCACCAACCTGCGTTATTTACATCGAGCGTCTTGGGCGATGTGAAAGCGGACACCGCCGTGGCAGCCACGGAGGCGATGAGAGCGGGCTTAATGTAGATCATGGTGATGATACCAGGAGCTGATCTACAGACTTTGCGCGCGGCGGGATGTCACCGTTCTAATGACAGATGATACTTCCAAGAGGCAGTCGTCTTAATCACCGCTTTTCACAAAGGATTGTTTTGAGTATACAGGCACACAAGGAAGACTGCGTCAAAGAGGGACGTAGGGTGAGAGAAACAGTATTTCCTTAAGGAATGGCTCTTTTTTGGGCGAAAGAGGGCGAGAAACAAGCAGCGAAACAAGTTCACCAGAAACGAGAGAAGGCTGAGAAGCGAGAGTAGCAGCGCATAGCATGGGTAATAAACAGGCAAGCAAAAGTATCCGATCTACATCCAGGGCAACCGAGGCCTTCCTCTTAATGAGTAAAAGAACGTCGCAACCAGGGGGGGGGGGGGCAGTTCACTATCCAGGTCCCGGCGCGCGGTTCGTGAGGTGGCACTAAGAGCGTTGAGGGGTGAGGTTCAAGGAATAGACGGCAGCTCCGGCCAATGGGGAAGGCCACTTGCTGAACTTTTGGTTCGACTCAGCCCACCTTCATCCCATGTTCCATCTCTTTTAGACTTCTTGACAGCTGCTCGTACAAAAAGTCTCCTTGCCCACATGAATCCCGCCGGTCCCCCCCTGACACTTGGGGCGGCGGTTGTGGACTTGTGCCTGACTAAAGGCCACCGCGCTTCTCAAAACATGGGGATTCACCCAGTCAAAACCCCCTGTCCACACATAGTTCATAATGCTGCCGCTGGGCTGAAGGGCAGAGGGATGGTGGTTGACTGGTCGAAAGGGGAAGTTCCAACGGGACCAGAGCCGCCGAAAAGGGGGGGAAGGGTAAGGAGGGGGGATGCGGGAGAGCGGGGTGTGGGCGGCTTGTGTGGTTCTCAATGCAGGCTTACAATGAACAAACTTGCATGAAGAAAGGGTATTTCGAATTGTGATTGACAGGCCAGCGTTGTACCGGGACAACCCATGGCAGATCCAAATCCTCCAAAGGCACTCTCTTCCGTGTGTGTTCAACAGGTTCAGACCTGTTCCAAGGCCAGCAAGAACCAGGCAGGATGTCGACGATTGGGTCAGTGATTGGGCGCTTGTCTGGAGGAGTGGTGAGCAAACCCATGGACGGGATGATCTACTTGAGAGCCGCTAGCTCGGGTTACCGTTACCTCCAGCTCGACACATGAAACAGCGACGGCACCCAATTTTAGCCTTTGCCTAATGGAGAATGGCGGGGGCCTGGGGGTGCCCATCGGCAACCATGATTTCTGGAAATGATTGAAGGAACGGCGGCTTTCTTCCTTTTTTCTCTTCCTTTGGTGGCGCCGTGCGCGAATGCCGGGTCTCGTAAATAACGTGGGCAGAGAGACGGATTGGTTGTCGAGGGCGCGTTGCTGGTAGTTCCTTTCTCAATGGTCTATGGAATGCGAGGCAGGCAGAGGCGACGACTCAAGTTGATTAGAACCGAAAGGGAAAGTGCCTACTCGGGCTCTCGTCGGTGTCGTCATTTCCAAGAAACCCGGGTTGGCCACCGTGACGAGACATCTGTGATGGTATATAGCTCTTAGCCAAAGATTGACATTGGTTGTCTCGCCCGGCGCAGTTTATCAGAGTCACGTGACCATGGTGGGGCCTTGTGCTTGAAGCCATCACCACTATCTCAAATGCATTCAAGATGTGAAGGCTGCACTCCGTACGCAGTAGTACGGTTTTTTTTTTTTCTTCTGAGAGTGGAAAGCTGGTTTTCTGCGCTTGGAAGACTACAATGACGAGCACCTAATTTCAAATCGAAATATTCAAAAAGAAAATAGTAAGGAAAAAACAAAAAGCATTGGGCCAATGGAGGTTCGGAAGCCGGAGCCCAGAAACAATCCGGAGCATCACGGACTAGTCAAGACTTCACGACCTTCTCCCCTCGGCCACCTAGGCGGCCGCCCCTTTGATTGGGACAGGAACGCGAATCGTTCTCTATATCCCCCTTCAGCCTGTCGTCTGAGGTTGCAGATTGATGTCGCTCACGTACATGCAGGTGCCCAGCTAAGCGGGCTAGCAAATTTCCTATCATCTTGACATAGAAGAGACCTCATCAATGCCTATCTACAGGCATTTTAGCCCGAAATATCACTTTAATACTTCTTGTACGGCAAGGAGTAGGGGTGTGTTTCCCACACCCCATAGTGAACCAGACCTGACTTCTCTCACCTATAAGACATTCCGTACGCACATTGCAAGAATCAGCTGTAGATACGTAGGAAACGTGTAGGGCATTGTTGTCCCGTGTTTACTCTATGGGATATTTTGCCAAATTCATCTTCACCAAGCTCATGATGGGCTACATGAAACAGCTGCCGTTGGGCTGGGAATACATACGTCCGAAGAGCACCGACTTTAATTTCTGCTCCTAGTGGGATCAAGCAGCCCAATTCTGAGTCTAGTCACCTTGATCCGACATTGATAAAACTTGCGCCGTCACAGGTGCCGATTCGGTAGATGGTGATTCCTTTCTACATGGATCTCAAATTGACTCACATTTGGTCTGTATGAGCGACTCATCGATCCTTCGGGCAGGTCAACTAGTAAAATAGGTACCTGATCATTCTCCAAACGGTCATCCTCGACTGAGATGCAAACAACAAACTCGCCGACTAATCTGCCATCACCCAAACTCACACCTCAATACCACAATGTCAAAAACACCCCAATCCATAATCCGCATCAACGGCTACCGGGGCACCGGCAAGCTAACGATTGCCCGCGTCCTGGAAGCAATACTCTCGCCGAAGGGCTGCCTCGTCCACAACCACCTCCTCATCAACCCAGCCGACGTCGTCCTACCACGCGATCAACCGGGCTACCAAAACCTCCGCAAAGCCATACGCGGCGCCGTCTTCACCGCCTCGTCGGGGTACCCCTCGACGCGCGATTCGGTGTACATTTTTACGGATTTCCAATTGAGCGACGCCGTGGGGTCCGCGACGTGTGCCGAGTACCTCGAGGCCGCGCGCGCGGGGGGTGGTAAGCTTGTTTCGGTTTTGTTGGCATTTGATGAGGGCGTCAACTTGGAGAGGTTGGTGAGTGCCGAGAGAAGGGCGTGGGGCAAGATTATTGATGATCCTAAGCTGTTGAAGTCATTTTGGGAGGGGACTAGGATCCATCGCCTTGAGGCCGGGGATGAGGTCGTTGTAGTGGACGTTGATGTCTCGAGGAGGACCCCGGAACAAGCAGCCGAGGAGATTCTCGATCATGTGCTCAAGATAGAGGAACGAGTCCCGATTCTAGACGCCTAGTTACGAGCTGCTCAGGTCAGAAAGGAAAAGAAAAAGGTGGATTCAAGCCTAAATGTCTAGGTTGTCTCCATGCCTGTGTGATTTTCCCGCAGTCCCATCGCCCCGACCGAATACGTTCCATGCTATAAAAAACACTTTTCTTTGGCCGTCTTTCCATCATCTATCAAATGCCTCGTTATGAACAGTCCCGATCTATGCAACCACCCCGTTCGCCGCCGCCTCCTTCTTCTCCTCGTCCGGCTGCCGCCCAGCACCGCGCACCTCGGCCAGAACCTTGGCAATAGAAGCAAGGAACCTCGTTACCTCGTCCTCGGTACCAATCGTAATTCTCAAACAGCCCAGGCAGCCGTGCTCCTTACCACGGAACCGCACCACGACGCCCTTGTTCTCCGCAAGGCGCTCATACACAGCCAGCGCCGTGACGTTGTCCGGCTGGCCCGCAGCATCCAGCATCTCGTACAGCAAAAAGTTACTCTCCGTGCCGCCGCGCAACCTGCCGACACCCGAGACCTTGGGAAGCTCGGCAATAATACGATCCCGCTGCGTCAGGATCTTGGCGCGATTGTCCCGCATGACGGCCAACCCCTTGTCCGAGACGGCGTACTGCGCGAGCGCGCTGGTCGGCGTGGAGATGTTATACGGTGCCTTCATGGCGTTGAGCAGGCGCGCGACGGGCGGGGAAGCGAACGCGGCGCCGAGTCGGATGCCCGCCATGCCGAACGCCTTGGAGAGGGTCTGCATCACGACGAGGTTGGGCCACTCGAGCACCCACTCGGCCATGGAACTGCCCTCGGGCGCGAAGTCGATGTAGGCCTCGTCGAGGACGACGATGCCGTTCCACGTCGGGTGCTCCAGCACGCGCTGGACGTCCTCCTTTGCCAGCACGGAGCCGGTCGGGTTCCCGGGGGTGCAGAGGTACACGAGCTTGATGTTGTTGTCCGGCTCGCTCAGCGCGGCGAGGATGCCGTCCGTATCCATGCCGAACTCGGGCGCGGCCTTGAGCGGGACCTTGACGATGCTCACGTCGTTGATCTGCGCCGAGACGGAGTACATGCCGTAGGTGGGCGGGCACGTCAGGATGCGGTCTTTTCCTGGGGCGCAGAAGCAGCGCAGGAGGGCGTCGATGGCCTCGTCGCTGCCGACGCCGACAAAGAGGTTGGCGGGTGTGAGGTCCTTGGTCGTGTGGGTGTGGGTGTTGCGCAGGCGGCAGAGGAGCTGCTTGAGTTCCGGCTGGTGAGGGTCCGGGTAGCGGTTCAGGCCTTGGAAGTCGATGCCCAGGTTGCCGGCCTCGAAGTCGGACTGCAGCGAGGGCCCGTAGGCGTTTTCATTTGCGTCGAGGAGGACGTTTGTTCCGTCGTCTTTGTAGTCGCTGAGGAGTGGTGTTAGAGACTGCGGTTGCTTATGAGAGTGAGTTTTATAGTGAGTGAGAAACCTACTCTCTTGCGCAGCGATAAGGCTCGAGGGCCAGAATATTGGGGCGCGCACACGTTTCGAGGTTGAAAGGTGACATTTTGGCTTGGGTATCTGGAAAGTGTGTTCTGATCAGATGCTGTGAGGATACTGAAGCGGAGTGAATTCTTATATCGGTGATCTCTCTCTCACTTGAGTATGACCATCGACGTCGGGTTGAGTCAACTCTCGGTCACTGTAAACTGGATCCCGACAGCTGGGCCCGCCGACCCCGGAGCCATACGTCGGCACCTGCCCGGGCCTAAGCGGGTCATCGAGAATGGCAATTGACCAATGGGGATTGGATATGTTGCCTCTGTCTATCATCCGAAAAAATCGATATCTGAGATGCTCACAGGGCTCAGCGCAGATCGGGGCAACATTTGCGCGATGAAAGTGTAGGAATACTGATCGTGACCTGTTGCAATCTCGGCTCAAAACAGGCGCTCCGAAGCCGTCCAGCTCGGCATCGGTTCAATTCCACCGTGGGATATGGAGCAAAGTCTGAAGTGATGAAGCCGATTGATGATTTCAAGCCGCAAGTCAATGTTCGCAGACGGTCTTCAAGTAAGTACTGATTCGTCGTACTTCTTATAGTTTCAGACTTTTCACAGAGCCGCAATTCTGATATCAAATGGACTGCATAGAGAATAAGCACTTAGATTACCCTCCTCACGCAATTGTGCAGCTGAATGAATGGATGCTGAAGCATGCTCTTAGGCTAGTTCAAAAGCCCAGTCAGCTTCATCCTCGGTCTCAATGGGCAGCGTTCTGTTATTTTCACCATACTTACACAGCTGAGTCTTAGCATTTCGATCCAATTCGTCTTTGGGGGCCAATGTCACTAGATTGAGCATGCATCTTGATCTCACCACTGACCGACCCGGACTTGTGCCCCGCTCCTGGCCCGGGGTCGCGGGTCAACTGCCATCGCCTGCATTCAGGCTGAATATGAACGAGCGAGCCAACACCACGGGTCTGGTCCAATTCCAAGCCAGCGTTTTTCTCGAACGACGGCAATGTCGGAAAGTAGTAGACAAAAAACAGGAACCCCGCACGACCTAGATTTCCTAGTTTGCATGACGAATGAGTCCCCGACCCATTCTCCAAGGATCAAGAAGGATTTCCAACGTCGTGCCCTCACCTGCCGGCCGTAGCTCTCGCGCCGGCAGCTCAACACACTCAAGCTAGCGGCGGACCGATGTGACGGGTATGGAGCTCAAGGATATGTTTTCCCCAACTTACCCCTCATCCATGATCGTGATGCTACCCGTAACCCTGGTCAAAGATCTGGGGAAACTACAAATATTTGAGCTTCTCTTCTACCGAACTCCGCATTGTGCGGGTTCGTCACCACTCTCCCGCCCTGTACGCGGGGGAATTCTGTACGCGGGAGAAATCTGTACGCGGGAGAGGGGGAAAACCCTTACTATCTTCGATCCGGCCCATTTCATAGGCGGCCATTCTTCGTCCGTCTCTGAATCGGTCGAGCTTCCCACGCCCCTCCCGATTCTAGTGTCCCGGATGAAAGGACCTATGGTCCATCATGACGCAAGGATGCGAGGCTATGGGGGTCAAGCTATGGGTTAGAGCTATATGAACCTCAATCCCCAGATACAATCCCCAGATATCGAAACTATGATGGTTGCTTGTTCTGGTCCCCGCTACCCTTCCTGACAGTTCCAAAGTGTCTGTCCGGCTGAGTGTTTTCGTCGTGCGAGTCTCTTATCGCCATTATGCTACCCTTCGTCGTCGCAGCTCTGGCCTCGGTGGCTACGGCCTCTCAATGCGGTCTCAAAAAGTTTGAGAATCTGGTGGCCTTCGGCGACAGTTACACCGACGAAGGCCGGCTCTCGTACTTTATCAACAACAATGGCACAGCTCCCCCGGCCGGTACTCTGCTCCCGCCGAGCAACTCGACCGCGAGCGGCGGCTATGCCTGGGGCCGGATCGCGGCCAACTCGACGGGAGCAAACTACTACGGTTACGCCGTCAGCGGCGCCACCTGCTCCAACAAGATCATATCGCGCGACTTCGCAGCCATCAAGCAGCCGTTTCCCTCCGTGCTCGACTACGAGATTCCGGCGTACAAGGCCGACACGGCGTTCGAGACGCTGTACCCGAACAGAAAGGCGGACAACACGGTCTACGCGCTCTGGATCGGCACAAATGACCTGGGCTACGGCGCGTTCCTCACCGACACCAACGCCGCGGGCACGACCATCTCCAGCTACGTGGACTGCATCTGGGAGGTCTTCGACAACGTCTACGAGACGGGCGGGCGCCACTTTGTCCTCTTGAATATTGCGCCGCTGGAGCAATCTCCGTTGTACGCCGCGACGGGGCCGGGGAAGAGCGGTTTCGGGGACAGCCAGTTCTGGACCAACAAGACGGCGTACAACACGACGGAGACGGAGTTCAAGATGTTCGAGTACAGCACGAGCGTCAACACCATGTTTGACTATGGCGCACCGTTCCACTTGCTCGTCAAGAAGCGCTGGCCCGGGGCGAGCTTTTCAATCTTTGATGTGCACTCTCTGCTGCGGGACGTCCATGCCGACCCCTCGAGTTACCTGTCGTCGCCTGCGAACGTGACGGCGCCGTACCGTACCTGTGATGCGGTGACGAGGGCTTGCGTTGACTCGTCGGAGGCCAAGTCGAGCTTTTTGTGGTACGATGAGCTGCATCCTTCGGAACGTGCAGGTAAGTCTAGAGTGTTTAGCGGGCTCTTCTTTTTGCATGGATGTTGGGCTAATGTAAGTGATATCGAAAGATGAGATTATAGCGCAAAACTTCATCGACGTTGTGTACGGTAACTCGACGTACGGCACGACATATACGTCGTGAGGGCCTCGTATCCGGCCAGCTCCTGTCGGATGAGGTTGATGCTTGATGAATCCATGGGCTGTTGATAATGCTGGAGGCCAGACCAATGGATAATGGAATAAAGCATATATGATGTGTGTCTTGTGAGAACAAGAGTCGGCATGTAATGGTAGGAGATGCAAGAAAGTTGAGAGACTTTAGGACGCCCCATCCGTCCTGGTCCTTGACCTGGTATCAGGGCGTCTACGTAGCTTTCGGTGAAATACCTACCTGAGGTACCACCTCAAGGTGCTGGCTCGAGCAGGTACTGCAATGCCAGACCATGCGAGGTGCTTCGTCTACCTAGCGGCATAGACCTTCCTAGTCTCGACATCCAGACGTATCCAGAGGTGCCATATCACATCACCGCAATGCAAATCCCAAGCTTCCTGGTCGACGTTGAAATCACAATAGTCTCTTATTTGTGGAATAAATGCCTTCGTTTGAATTGGATTCTTGAGCATCAACAAAGGTACGGACGGGTACAAGGTACCGGTAGGTAATCCATTCAATCGTGCCTTCCATTATTGAGAAGTTTGAGGAAGGGGAGGGGAGACATGACCCTTGCCGGCTGCAGGCACACCCCTGTCATGATGAAGGAGGACCTTAGTGGTGGTCCAATGAAAAGACATCTTCGCCTCGGCTCTTCGACTGCTTGATTAACGTCCCGAGGTACGTACTGGCCACCTTTCGCACCTTCCGGGTTCCAAGCGCAGGTTCGCAACAGGTTTCCAAAGACCCCGGCGCGTGGCCCCCTCCCCCCTTCCTAGAACGCCCCACCGTTTCTCAAGCTCCCCCCAGGGCCCATGTGGAAAAGCAACGCAGGAAAATTCTGTTTCTGCCTTTCCACGTCCCTCTTGTCTATGAATGCCTGGCTGACACCTCACACAAGTCACAACACGACACACCGACACCCCGATATCTCGCTCGCTCGCTCCTCATTTCTCACACACACACCCAGATGACATTAATCGCCGGATCGCAACTGGACTGGAACTCTAGACAAGGTTACTGCCGCGCCGCCACACCCGTTCTTACCTTCTCTCACCTCACCTCATCTTACTTCACCGCACCGCACACCGACACACCGATACCGTGCCGTGTCGTTCACGCCTGGCCTCCCTATCCGTACCTTACCTTACCTCTCTCTCTCTTTCTCTCTCTCTCCGCTTGATGCTCCACGCCCGCCGTCACTCACACCAAGGCCGCATTTGAGGTCCTTTCTGTTGTCCTGTCGTCGTGTCAAACGTACGCAAAGGGTTGCTTTGCGTCCTGTCCCTTCGCTTCCAACCGCACCCTACTGTGCCGTCTTGCACCAGCCACCCACCCCTTCTGCTCTCCGCGTGTCCTTCTATCTTACCTTTACTTTCTAAAAAGGTACCTACCGCGTGGGACCTTGCCAGCTTGCCTATCTACGGATACCTTATCCAGCTCGGCGTCGTTCCTGAATCAAGTGGCAGCCCGGCGCAGACCACCACCCGATTGCCATCTGCTTGCTCTAGTCTTGTCTCACCGGCCCGCGCTGTGGCACTTTTCTGGACGCTCCTTGGCTCCCTCTTTACCATCTTGGACATTGTCAATCATCGAGCAATTGCGGATACGCTTCTTACAATCCCTTCCTGCCTCATCTCTCACTGGCAACCTCTCATCTGGCGCCCCATCACTCCACGTCATCTCCCACCCATTACCCGTACCTAGCCCTTCACCCTTTCTCACCGTACCCATCTCATTCACTTTGGACCCCTGATTTCCACATTCTCACACCCCCGTGTGCTCTATTTCCCTCTACTTACTGTACCTACTGAGAGGTTCACCTAAGGTAGTGGACGAGTACGGACGAGACCGAGACAAACAGCGCTGGCTTCATCCCAGCCCCCAGGTACCTTATACCGTACGCCATACCAAACAGCCAGGTACCCTCGAGTGCAGAGAAAGGAACTGCCTGGATACGTTCCGTATGCATGGTTGTACCTTAATACGAAATACATCCATCATTGGCAAGCCGCAAGCCGATTCAATCCACTCATAGGCCAAAGACTTTGGCTGTCAGTTCGGTCACAGTCTATCTGAGAGACAAGCCAGCCCATTGACGCCGGACGGTACAATCCCTGTCCCCCACCGCCCATCACGCACGTCAAGCAGCAAGCAAACGAGCCAGTCATCCCGCCAGCCTAACAAACCTGCGGCCCGGACAGGCCAGGACCACCTCGCCTTACTCCACGCACTCCCCGCCGCCCGCCCGCCGTTCTTCTCTCTTGTTGCGATCGACTTGACGAAACGTCGCCCGCCCGCTGCGGCCGCGCCTCTCCCTCACCTCCTCCGCCCAGTGTAGGCCAACCCAGTCCAACCCAGCCAAGCGCGAGACAACAAGCGACCCAGCCAGCCCGTGTCTGACCGAGTCTCAAGCCCGAGTCTATTGCTACAGTACCCTATCCGTACGGATACACGCTCACACGCTCTTCTCGACTAGGCCCCTTGGGACCCCCCCGTTCGACCTGTTCCTTGGGACCGTCGCGTCAAGCAAGCCCCGACCCCCCAAAACCATAATAATAATAATAGCTCCGCGCCCATCCTATCCCATCCCGTCCCAGCCATGTACGCTCCCGGCTACGGCTTCTCCAATGTCCCTCCGAACTTCAACACCGGCGCCCCACCTCCAAACCAGAACCCTCACATGCAGCCAGGCTCTGTCCCAACCCAGCCGGGCCAGCAGATGATGTACAACCCTAATCAATTCGCTGGTATGCCCGGAGGCCAGCCCGGCTTCGTCGGCGGTCCCAATCCCGCCATGATGTCGGGCGCTGGCCCTGCAGGCATGATGCAGAACGCCGGCATGCCACACATGGCTGCCAATGGTCAAAGTGAGCTCCCCCCTTCCTTGCCCTGTCTCTCCCCGTGTGTGTCCACGTCTGCCATCGGTCAGAGAGTCTCGTATCTGCGTCACGCCCTCTGATGCTGCCCCGTGGCAGCATGTGTTGCCCGTCGATGATCGAGACAAAGATCGTGGTGCCACGAGATCGCGTCTGTCTTGCAGTCACTCCGTCACCATCGTCATCATCATCGTCAACACACACCCGCCAAACGACATGGCACCGCAGTATCTTCCAGCATCTATCCACGGAAACACGCGTTTGCTAACATCAATGTATCTACCAGTGGGCTTCCAAAACCCTTACCAGGGCAATCCATACGGCGGCAACATGCCCGCGCCGGGCGGCCAGCATCCCAACTTTGGAGGAATGCAAGGCTTCCCGATGAACGCGGCGGGCATGACGCCTCAACAACAGCAGCAGATGATGATGCAGCAGCGCATGCAAGCGCAGCAGGCACACCAGCAGCAGCAAGGGCAGGGACAAGGAAATCATGGAAACCAAGGCGGCATGCAGTTGGGCTCGACACCTCAGAGGCCGATGAGCGCGGCGCAAGGTGGACAAGGCTCTCCAAACAATGCGATGCAGCAACAGCAACAACAGCAGCATCAGCAGCACCAACCTCAACATCCCCAGAACCCTCAGCAGCAACACCAGCAGAACCAGCAACATCACCAGCAACAACAGGGTCAGCAACAGCAGCCGCCACAATCGCAAAACCAGCAACAACAGCATCAGCAACAACAAGCACAACATCAACAGCAACATCAACAGCAACAGCAACAGCAACAGCAACAGCAGCAGCAGCAGCAGCAGCAGCAACAACAACACCAACAGCAGCAAGCGCAGCAACAACAACGTCAGCAAAACCAGCCTCAACAACAGCACGCGCAACAGCAACAACAGCAGCACTATCCCACGTCGCAACCTCAGTCACATGGCCAGACTCCTGCGGCTTCAGCGCACCAGCACTCGGCTTCCATCGCGTCCGTGACGACCCCCCAGACCCCGACATTCCCTCAACATAACCAGAACGCGACTGCAAATGGCACATCGTCGGTGTCGACGCCCCTTAGTCCCGGTAGCGAGTCCCGCGAACAGGAGAGGTTCTCACTGCTGTTGGAGATCAACCAAGAGCTGTTGTTCGAGTCAATGCAGTTGCAACACACGCTGAGCGAGTTGAAGAAAGAGACACCAGGAGAAGGAGATCAGGCAAGGAAACCGACCCAAGAAGAAGGGTCGGTTCAGCAGGACTACAGCCAGTAAGTCACTGAGACAGATATGAGGTGGAAAACAAAGGAAGACTGACATCGTTCTTCACAGTTGTATGCGACGACTTCAAGCGAATCTCGCATACCTAGCCGCTTTGGCCGATCGCAAGGGAAACGTCCAGGTTCCTCCATCGCCCGCTTACCTGTCCTCCCCGCCACTGAATATGGCGCTCAAGATCCGAAATTCAACCCCGCCAGGCGACATTCCCGAGAACAATCCAGACCCGATGACAGACCGCGAGGAACGATCCAAATACCTATCTGAGCTGTACAGAAAGCTTCAAGCGCTGTTTCCAAATGCGGACCCCAAGAAGGAGCCACCGTTCCAGGCCGCGGGCCGCCCTCAGGGTCAACCGGGGCAGCAGGGACAAGGTCAGCGGCCGCCGAGCCACCACGCGAGCCCCGCCATGGCTCAAGCTCAACGGCCCATGCAAATGCAGAACATGCCCGGAGCACATCAGCAGCAGGGCATGTCTCTATCATGATCAAGGCGCGAGGAAGCGACATGGATCGGCCTCGGCCATTGGGTAACATGGCGGCGTTCCGGACCCTAGGGAAATGTATGAAAGAAAAAAAAAGTCACAGTTTTTGGCGCGGGTGGCGGGTTCTCCCGCTGGCACCCTCTACGTTGGAGAGCCATAGCTGGAGATTTCCGCTACAAACTTTGTTGCGTTTGGAGCTGTACGAGGTGCAATTGCGCGGCGTTTGATGGATTTAGAGGAGGCCGTCAGCCAAGTTTGCATAGACTATACTCTTTGGAGCCGATGGAGTTGCGGCATACTGTGTGTTAAATAGGTCGGCATAGGGGAAGCACATTGGCTCGAAAGAGGTGGATGAGACGAATCGAAGATTGGATCATTTCAAAGGGCAAGCGCCATGTTCTCTTGTCAATTGTCACTATGTGTGTGCTTGAAGGATCCTCACGACCCCGTGATCGATATGTTTTGACTCGGGCCGGTGACAACCGATACCGAGACAGCTTCATCGACGGCCGTGCCATGCTATGCGTTTCTATGCGGCTTTGCAGGCACCAACTAACACAACACGATGAGGTCACTCGTGGACGGGGGTTATTGGTTAAGAGGCACATGTCCCTATAGCATCACATTGTCCTCAACCCAGTCAGCAACCAAGGGCGTGTCACACTGTAGAATCACAATGTATGCGCATGTCTCCTGACTAGAAGCCATCCCCTTTGCGGGAACTTGTCAAAGTTGGATTTATCCGTCCAACACCCCCGCAGGTTTAGGTCTGCGCTTGGGGCTCGCGCAAGTACGACAGGCAGGTGGCGTAAGGAGGACTTGACAATCTCCTATACACGGCAGGTTTATACACCATCTCGCGCCTGTCCCGAGTGAGTGGCATACTTTTACACGTCTGTGGGTATTCCGAAGGGCCGTGGGCTGGAGCTGTGGTGCGGTGCCCCTGTCCCATCGGTTTGAAAAAGATTTGGGATATGCAGGTTCTGGATGGAAGCTACGGGATCTGAGCCGTAGTGTCTGTGTGTACATGGAGTCTGGGTATTCAAGAAGATCTTGTGAAAATGATATTCAAAGGTAGGCAGCGGAGAGGCATACTCTGTAGTGATGACATCCTACGTAGGCATGTTGTGTATTCGTACCTTGGGTTGACTACATCATTCGTAGATCATGGATATTCAACAGGCTTGCGGATACATCATACGGATACTGTGAAAGGCTGAAGCCAAGGAAGGACCCCTTGGGACCGCTCGTTGGGCTGGGCGTTTGTGGATGCGGTTGGGTACTCGGTAATACCCGGCAAATGGGAGGAGGGAGGGAAAAAATCACGAAATGATGAACAGAGTGGATCCCGAAAGCTCCCCGCCGGCGTATTTACTTCCAGCGTTTTGCCATTCGGCGGGCCATCAAGAGAGCCTTCTGGAGGTTGGACACTGGGTGAGGATGGGATGGGATCACGGAAATGTGCCTGCCGTCGTGCAGCACGCGTGGAAGCTTGTTTCTGTGCAGGTTGCTGCAGCCTGCAGGAAGGGGGGGGGGGGCGGGGGCCGTGATTGGATTGCTGATGGGTGCTAGCGGTCCCGTACCTTGCAGAAAGTGGCTGCTTTTTTTTTTTTTCACACGCGTGCCTTTTCTGCTGCTAATTTCGTCCGAGCTTTCGAGATGATTTCGTTGTATTTTCTCTTGGGTTGGTCTGGCCAGCCATGATCCAACAGATAAATAGTGATGTAGATCCTTTTTGACCGTTGGTGCTAGAAATAGGGGGTTTGCTGATAGGAATTGCCATGGTCCGTACAATTGATGTGTTCATGATCAAGATACGGATACCTTGGTAGGTGAGTGACGAAGTGATGTAAACAATTCCCGGGTTACACGTCAGACAAGAGGGCGAATGAGCGCGTGGGATTCGCGGTTTTTCGTTTGTGAACCCTTACCCCCGGTGCCCGCCCCTTGGGAAATTGAGTTCCCCTCTCTTGCTATCCGGCTCATATGAAAGAAAATGTTGTCATCAATTAAACGCTTCTTACCCGGGCATCGCGCCGTTTGCCAACTCCCTCCATGGCATCTGAGGCTGCCTAGCTGCATTACGGGCAATCGTTATCCGTGGGCATACTTGGTACACGCAAAGCATCTTGTTTGCAGGCTCCCTTTCTCTCATACCCGCCCTGTGATGTGACCATTGAATGCCATACCTACTCAACCGATGAAAGGGAAGAATACAAGCGGGAAGAACATGCCACAGCAGGGCTCCTATGATCTATCCGTAGTTCCCTTTCCCCAGCATGGATTCCCGAGTCCCCCTTTGACCGCTCACTTCATTCCAGACCAGTCGAGATTCGCCCAATCCCCATTGCCAACGCAACCCAATCTCATCTGATCATCACCCGCACTCCCTCCCCTCTGTCCCCCCCCTGTCGCACATCCCGCATTCTTGCCAATCCATCAGACCTAGACGTTTTTACTACTCCATGAGACCACCACTGCACCACCACCACCAAAAACCGCCACCAAGCCCTTGGGGATCGACCGGGCTTGGAAACAAACGCCTCTTGGTATCCGCGGTGATCTTAGGTAAAGCACACACTCGAGCTTTCCAAGCTATGCGCGCTAGAAGAGGCGAACACTTTGGCCCTGGCAACGTCTGAACTGCCACTGCCTGACTGCTCAGCTGTGGCTGCCTCTCTCTCGTGTCTCTCAGTGACCACTTCCCCCTTCCCAAGTCCACGTCTCCCAGTGGCACAGGGCCTGCAGTCGTAAATCCAAGGTGCAAGTGGAGGAAGTACCGACGGATAACAGAGGAAGAAGCTATCCGCTGCTGCCCTACTTTGCAAGAATAGACTGAGGTGCTGCCCAGGAGATTCGAGAGGCTGCAATTGCCAATCCATCGGCATCCACCTACCCTGGGCCGCCCACCCCAGCGTTTCAGCGTCCTTGGCCCCTCGATGAAACGACATAACCACAGGAGCACTTGACCAAGTTGACTGACGCGCCTGCAGACCCAATCCCAATCCCCTCCTGTTGCCGTCCAATCCTTTCTTGATTCTTCCAGGTTGATTCTTCCAAGTTCCTGGTTCTCCCTCCAATTCCCATTCAAACTCTCAAAGTTTGCCCTTTGCCCTCTCGGCTGTCCTAGGCTTACCTACTCATCATCCTCCCCCCGACTTCGCTCGCTGCTCGTTCAAGGAGGCTGCTCATCTGTGGATTCCGCCCGTTTTCTTTTTCCCCCCCTCCCGCTGCTGCGCTGCCGTGTCGTTCGTTACTCGATACCCCCTTGCTCTCCATCGAACAAGGAAACCGTTGGAGGAGATATTTCGGGACCCAAAGCCACACCCACCCGCCGTTGCAGCAAGCAGCAGCCAGCCAGTCACTTTGTTGGACACAACCACTACCCGCACCGAGTCTTGTTCTCTCTGCTTGCTGTGTTACCGCTGCCAACCTTGTGCACATCCCTGATCATCCGCATTGCTTGTGGCTTTCCAATTCATTCTCCTGCCGCTCGCCCTTCTCCCCCCTACCCCGTACGCAGTTCATTGGGTACGACAGTCTTTCGGCTCGCGAGCCGCCCACCGACAACGTTGAACCACATCGAACCTCGAATTCGGGAAACTTGTCGAGAGACGAGATTGGCCTGCGATTTTATGCGTCTTGGAAACAGCGCCACGGCTGCGCGCACTCGTCGTCGTTGACCGTCCTACGCATACTGTGGGATCACCTTCGACGAGTTCCACATTCCAGTCACCACTGTGATTTCTTGTGGCCAAAACACCAATCAAGCAGTCGGGCGGCCTGGCCATGGACCTGGCGCTGCAGCAACGGGATGAGGTCGACCACAACACCGAGCTGACGCATGCCAAATCCGACACGAGACCCGCCGCCGCCGCCGCCGCCGCCGCCAACGCCAACCAAGACGACGACGACGACCACCGGGAGACGACGCCCAAGATGTTGGCCCACGATTCCATGGTCACTGTTAGGCTTTCCGAGCCGCCTGCTCTAACCCTCGACACCAATGTTGGCCCCGATTCACCCCCGAGAAGGAGACCTAGTACCGTCAAGATTGAAAAGCTTCCCTTCCCGACAGAGACGCTAGAGGTCAAGACCCAGGACCAGCCAGAGGACGAGACCGACGACACCCCACCGAGTTACCCTACGACACCGTTGCCTGTTACGAGCGCTACGCGGAATCTCCAAGACGAGCTTGTGGACTGCGAGGACGAAGCCGAAGAAGAGGGAGACCGTATCACCTCACTACCAGCTAGGGGCACCCTACTCGAGACGCCCATAGAATTCAAGAGGCCCGTCGTTGACGAAGAGGAAGAAGAAGAAGAAGAGGACGAGGAGGAAGTCAACTGGGACGAACTGCAGAAATCCGAAGCACAAGAACCTAGGGACGCGGATACAGACAGAGTAAGTGCATGCTGAGGTGACTCCAATAGCAACTTTGTCGAGGCTTACAATTCCTAGTCTACAGCCATGTTGCTGGCTATGCTAGAGCAGGAGAATGATAAGCTGGCGACGAACCCCAAGACCATCAAAGTTCAAGCCGTAGAACAAGTGGCCGCTTCCAATCGCCCGAGACCGCCATCAATGGCACAATTACGACACATGGTCCACGGGCCAACACCCCCGGCCTTGCGATACTCGATGCTCCCGCCGCCACCAATGACCGATCTCGAGTTCTACGCCGCGTTGGTCAAGGACTATCAACAGACGGCTGCTCGATTGCCAACGCTTCTATCGAACAAGATCCGCAAAGGCATTCCCCCTCCGCTACGAGGCGTCGTATGGCAAAGCATGGCAGGCGCAAGAGATTCTGCACTCGAGGAACAATACGAGCGATTCACGGGCGAGTCGAGTCCCTACGAGCCTATTATCGGCAAAGACCTTGGTCGGAGTTTCCCTGGAGTTGACATGTTTCGCGACCCCGAGGGCGACGGACAACGCATGCTCGGACGGGTGCTCAAATGCTTCAGTCTCTACGATACGAAGATCGGTTACTGTCAAGG